TGTTCTGTTTGTTACCATTGTTAATAATATCTAGTGGATGTGCAAACTGGAATCGAATAACGAAGTTGATAACTTTATATTAGAAGAACTATACTAAATAACAATATTTTTCCTTATCCAAGCGGATATTTTTACATGGGTTTATAAAGAACTGGTTACCGATTATAACTAATTAATTCATAGAATTTATGATTCATTTACCAGAATCACAAATGTAGGATTTTTTTGATGTTTACGGATTAACTATTAGGAAAATTAACAGTATAATAGCACGAATTATGGAATTCCATTATCGATGTGTAACAGAAGCTATCAATTAACCTGTCGTATCGCAGAATCGTACTGTTGGAATGAACATCTAAGCACGACAATTCATTTTCAATTGCGTTTCGTATTAAGACACCAGAGAGAAGTTTTATAATACCAATATCACTCAAGTGTACAAAAATGCAGATTAGTGCACATTAGCCCTCCATTCTATACTTACTCCTTATAAATCTATAACAATAGTAATACTCACGCATGCAAGCAGGCACGTGTTCTCACGAAGAGCACCGACGCAGCCCGTGAACCCAATTATGAACGTAATGGCGCCTGAAACACAATACACAAACAATAAATATCAGTGCAAAAAATGCATGCTCATACGTAACATGTTTTGCAAGATTTATTGCTTCATATTATAAAACTTACTTTTTAAATTAATATAAAACACATTAATGAGTGAAAGCATGTCTACTGCAGGTTTTAAACTATGTTAAATATGAAATATTGTTGAGTGTTAGTTATAGGGGCCTTCAAACATAATTTCCGATTACAACACCGCCCCTTACAAAATCTTGTCAAGGTAAACAATAGGGTTTCGTTTCGTAATACCCATTGCCCAAGATGGAGCTCAGTCATCTTAAAATTGTTACCGAGCCATTTATACCATAGAACTACTTCTATGGTATAAATTATATTATTATATTCTATAATATTATATAGTTCACAACTATAGCTTACAGCAATAACATCCTCTATTAGGTTTAGTAATTTAATTAAATATGTATCTAGGGCGTAATTAACCATAATTTTACTACAACTGTTTTCACTATTTGCATTAAGATTTTGTACCAATAGCAACCATAATAAAAATATTATTGTAGGCTGGCATTAGTTGGACAGATTAAGGGCCTGATACAGAAAGCAGTTCTCCTAGAAACGACACGTATCGTGAGGAGGTTTCTGTCTCTGGAGCCACAACCACTGGTAGCTTGGACCGTGCTCCCGGTCAGCTCCTATTTTTTATATTTTTAAACATTACTTTTTAATTTGTAAGTAGATTTTAAAAATGTAATTTGTGGAGAATTATAAATAATTATATATTATTACTATACTCAGTATTATTGTATTAATATTGACAAATTCCCATTGTTACAAAACACACAATAATAATTTGTAAACATGTTACAGGTAATAAAAGAACCATTCTATCCCAATACTAACCTACATAGACTATTATTAGAAACAATAATGTGTAGTGTACTACAAGATCTGAATGGAACAGCTACAAAGTTTTAACTTGTCTATAAACCATTCAAATTTACTTCAGGTTACAGTACAAAATTTAAGAAAATATTTGTTCTGTCTAACATTATAAACAAACTAAAAAAAACAACTAACTGCTTGCATGTCGTGTGTTCAACCTTTGCTATCTTATCTTTTCATAGTAATAATGTTTACCTTTACATTAAGGAATCTAAGTATTTACAGAGCATTTTAAACTTAACGGAGTACTTTTTGTGAGGTTCTAATAAGAAAATTCCATGTCATATCTCACTACAAAACCAACTGCATAAAATGCTAAAAATGTATATCAGATTGGTAGTGACTGGAATTCAATTAAACACATAATTGTCTGTGATACTCACCCACACATATTAATATAAATGCTGGATCCAAGGCAATGTTAGTGAGTCGGGACAGATTGTTAAATGTGTCCTTCTCCGTCCATGCCCACACTCCCACCGCTAGCACGATTAGACCGAGAAACTGAAATGTAAAAATAGATGATACTTTACTTTAGGAAATAGACTAGAAAATTGCATTTTACGATAACATTTTTCAACTAATATTGTTCAGCAGTAAATGAATTTGTAGTTGAGTGCACCTACCATATCTAATTTCTGTACAACACATAAGTAGAGTGGGAGGGAATGCCCAAGGGTTTAGGCTTAGATAGGTTTCGGGCAATAAAAAAAACATGAAACTAATTCAGAGGTCACTACTGTGACACTGTTTCTTTTGATATTCAGACCAAGTACAAAGTGAAATGGGAGAACTGTGCAAGTTTATTATTATAGTTACATACATATAAAGTATTATTATTGGACTATAAAATATGCAATACATGATAAATTACAACCAATGCAACAATAATATAATTTTAGTGTTAAAACAGTATGTTTCCTTCCGTTAATTATAATCAAAGCAACTATATGTATTATACTATTGCCATATTTGACAAAATCTAACAATTTATTCTGCTTATGGATTTCCTGTGATAATAAATTCTAAGCAGGATAAATTTTACAGAAAAACAATGGGATAAAAATAATTGGCATATATAATTATGTATTGTGCTATTCTAATACTGTATGATAAAGATTTTTTTTAATATTGAATTGGATTTTTTTAAATAATTTGTGGAAACTCTTATGTCAACTGTATAGGAAGAAAAAACAAAAGCTAGTTTAAATATATTATTACCAAATCACAACTTTCACTGAATTTTCAAATTATTCTTTACACTGTTTGATAAGATAGGAAGTTTTGTTAACCTTCTAGAGTTTTTGCATTGAATTTACGTAGTTTCAAGGCTAGTAAAATAATAGTATACGCGAATGTTAACCTTAAAGGTACTTTTACATAGTTAGCAGGATGCAAACAGTTATAGATGTACTGTTATACATACTAATTGTATGTAGATCACTCTAAACAAGTATCAAGTGACCCCAATAGCCTGGTAATTCGCATAGCTGAGACGAAATCAATGAATCAATACCCACTCCAACGATTTGCTAGATTTCAGGTCAAATCGAGTGCATACAGTCATCTCTCATCACTTAGTAAATGTTAACTCTGAAATACTATTCCTATGATACAGGTTTATTTTATTACAGGTGTATGCAAATGTCAAATAAGCAATAACTACGCAAATTACAAAAAAGTACAGACACAAAAAGAGATCTCTACTTACCCAGAACAAAACATTCACACCAAAAATAACATATTTCAAACAACAGCTGACTTCGCTGGTATCCCTTCGATATTTCCTTATGCCAGGCATTTTAAGTATCACATAATAATGTCACAATATTATTAAAATAAGGACTGAACACTACATTTATATAAAAAATATTAGAAGTAAAAATCTAATAAACTAAGCAACTAGGCCAAACATTGGCCAAATCAACGAGAGCGAGTGGAGTGAACGACCGTCAAACAAAAGAAAGGAAGGATTATGAGGATAAAATTGATAATAACTACATGTCCATTACAACTTAGCTGTCAAACGTCAAAGCCATAGCAATATCCATGTGTTAGAAAGAGACAGACAATGTGACAGAACTATTTGTAATGTTCTTGCCACTTTGGTCGCATTGTAATACGAACAAAATAACGTTCTGATACACGCAAACAAAAGACGTACGATTATATTCTCATCGTTAATTAAAGTATTTTAGTACGGTTACTAACTATTGTAACTAACCATATTTTAATAGTCATTATAGAAATAATTATTACATTAAGAATACATTATAATATGAGTAAGTACAAGTACTTTTTAGTACAAGTATTTTTTTAACTAAGTATGTCTTATTTTCGCTGTTCACAATTTTAGTTTTTCTTTTATCTCTCTAAACAATATTTGGTACGGGATGACAAACCATCATTGCTTCGCTCTTTTTACATGAAGTTGAAAATTTAAGATTTTGTGAATTTAGGGTAGGTGCTTCATTTAAATACTTACACTTATTTAGTGTCTAAGCTTCCTCTCTCCAAAAAAGGTTTATACCTATAGGTAGCCCAAGTACTTTCTCGCCTCGTTGATCGAGTAGGTACACACGGCTACACATCGAGCTTTACATAACCAGTATAAACTGAACGTTAAAAGTGTGGAAAGATGATACACCAGGATAAACCTTATTTTGTATAAATTGATGTGTGGCCATGTGTAGGTACCTATTACACAGATGTCGCTAATTTGAATTGAATAGAATATCGCATATTAAATCCATAGGTAAATATTTTTATCGATTTCTGACCTAATATTCAAAATGGAATTTTTAGTCTGTGTCAGTTAATCTTCAACTACTCTCGCGCGGTTTCATCCACTGCTTGGCTCCTATTGTTGATTGTAGCGTAACATTTACATAGCCTATGTCACTCTCCAATCTCCATATACCTACCTTCAACAACCACTTAAAAATCGCGTCTATTCGTGGCTCCATTTTGCCGTGATAGACAGACAAACAAACAGACACACACACTATTGTATTAAGAACATTAGTATAGTATGGATTAGTTTCACTGACTGCTGAAAAACAATTAAGGGTGAGATCTAATAAAACATATTATACAATTTTGTCTGCTTCTGAACCTAAGCTAAATGGCCTAAACATGTGGAGGTATCTCCCAAATAAATCGTTAGGTTTTTTTCATAGCAGTCACATGTAGGGAATCCACGTGGAGCTCTTTTACCTTTGAGAGACAAAGAAGGTCAAATCTTCCAAACTTCTCTTCAAATATTCTGTTCATATAGGGTAGCTGTCCGATATAACACTTAGGTACATATTGTGTATATAATAAAACCAATAGCATATAACTAAGTAGGTACTTAAAGTTCTATATCCTAGATGAAGCAGCCCTCTGCTCTGACTGCCCTCATCCACAATGAACACCCATCTCAAAAATTCTTAAAATAAAAGCCTTTGTAGTATTTAAGTAGAATATCTTTATTTGTTGTTATATACAATACATAATTTTTATTAACTACTTTATATATAGTTCTTATCTCTGTTTAGTGATCACATTTTAGGCCGTCAGACGTATGGCTAGTGATCCAATCGATGTAATTGCTGACTTTCGTGTAAACCCCTGAAACGACCACAAGAAAACATATGATACATTATGTTCACGTAATATCTTACATTTAGGTACTTTACGTACCTTTTTTGAGGGGGTCAGTCATCAAATGACTTTTCTCTCCCGCCTTGAGTGACGCTAGAGTTGTCTTTAAAAAGAGACAAAATTCCTACCAAGGGGACTATTGGAGATTGGAGCATTTTTGCAGTAGCTACGGATGTTTCTCTATCTAAGAGGTATTATAAATTGATAAATAATAGCTAATTTGTTTCATGTTTACCTATTGCTATCAGAAAGCCTTCCTATGTACCATTGAAAACGACAATAACGTGACGTGGATATAAATAATAATACATTATTGTTTTGTGGCACACAAGCGTGACAAGAAACACATAGACACATTCTTATGAAACTATGAAATGTGAATCAATAGCTGATATTCGATATAAACGTTAAATCTTCTTGCCTTTAAACTTCAGTTGAATTGAATTAGATTTTAAGGTATGTAGGTACATAATAGGAGGCAGCTAGCATAGGCTGCTCTACAAAACAGGTGTATAACCGAAACAGGGGATTATTTAAACAGCGATCTCCACGCTTGGCGCCGTGTTGAAGATCGCGGATCAGGTTTATCAGAGAGCATTGCTGCCCGGTTTTCGTTAAATAATTATGTAGTCCTTAGTCGGCTCTTCCAACTCCTGAAAAAAATTTCTCAAACTAAAACTAGATACTTACCAGGATACCTGGGGTCTGCACACCCAATACCCCAAGAAACGACGCCTGCATACAAAAGAGGTTCGTTAATAGGGTCAAGGTTCAGTTAGTTTACAATTTGCAAAGCACTAGCTCTGCTCATTAACCTCATGTAGGTCGTCTCATTAAAGACTTTCCTTTCGACATTCCACACCGAAAGTGACAGTCACCTATTAGGACTCGGTGTTCTTAGGCAGACCTCTCTCAAGGAATTGACGGTGACACTATGGTCAAGTGCGGCAGTGTATAGCGAGGCTCTCGAACCCTAGGGATGTAACTAGTCGAGCTCTCTCGAATAAGTAGCTGTCATGCGAAGGCCGTACCTATCTATGAATATAGTAGGACTCACGATAGTTATTATAACTTATTAATTGTTATTTTGTTTACAAGCACTGCACGTGTGCCATAGGTACCTTGGATTTCATTATCTTACCTAAAGCACAATAATCGTCAAATCCATCAATGATTTTGAAATAACTCCATAGTGGACTATACAAACACTGATTGATTGTTGTTTTGCGTTTTGTAATCAATTTACGAGAAAAACCTTTTTAAGCAAATAAAATGTTTTGTCAAGGACATAATCAAAATCATTTAATTCAAATAGACCAGAAAGGCACTTTTGAACGTCAACAAAAAAAATTAAAGTGTAGCTATTTGCTCATTCCAAGGTATGGATTCCTATGGAGAAGAACGAGCAATGAAACTCCATAGGTTACTCTAGGTGCCTATTGGTTACTCTTTTTCAATCTAGTTCACAATACAATTCTTTAGTTACATAGTTTTGTTGGTTCAATTAGGCTGTAAGTACCTAAGTACTTATCAATAGAACGGACGCAGATGATCGTAAAGTAAGTTAATGAACGAAATTGCAACCGCTTATCAATTAAACGTCAAAGTCATGGTTGCGGTGATTAAAATGAAACAGTAATTTACAACGCGTATTGAAAATGTCCGATATGTAGGATTTTCTAGGTTTCACTAAGAGAAATAAAATAGCTCTGATTAAGACAAAAAGGATAAATAGAGCCCTATCTTCTCACTACTTCTCATTTATTTATTGAAGTATTTTTTATTTATTGAGTAAATGTCGTAAGTTTAAGTTAAAATTACCTGCTTGAACATATCTGCCTTCAGGTTGAAAAACTAAAAGAGGCCCACCACTGTCGCCCTGAAACCATAACAATATTTGGTTAGATTGTTTTTTAATACCTAACAAGTTCATGCAGGCTATAAAATACATACATTCATTCTAGTTAGCTTCTAGGTTTTTTTTTTAAGTGGGGAAAATCATCGAATGACTGCTCCCGTCTGGGTGAGGCGGGAGGGAGTGTCAGACTCTTACTGACTAAAAACCACCCCGTTCCTTCTCCTGCACGTCGAGCCGGAGCCCCGGTAACCCGTTAGGTTCTCCGCGACTCCGAATCGGCATCGGCATCGGCATCGGCCCTATTGGGCCCCATCTGTGGTGGTCTGATGGCTCTTTGAGGCGCGCGCGGAACGCGACGCGCCGTACGCTCGGGTCTGTTTCTGGTCGGACGGGGAGCCACCCATGCTCGCCGTCCGCAGGCCCGCGCTTACGGTGGCCGGAGATCGTCCCGCGATCCCCGACGCCCGGTGTGTCCTTCGCGATGGCTGGGTTGCGAGGAGGCAGCGCTTCGCTGCCTCACGCGTCCCGCCTCCTCCTTAGCTAGCATGACTGCTTCGCAAAAGGAGGAGACGGCATCCCAATCCCCCTCGCTCCGCATCATGGCCTGCACTAGGCCCGGACGCGAGAGGTCGCCATCGCCGATCATGACACCCAGACGTTTCCTCCCGCCCCATCAGACACAGGTACCTCCCGAAACTCCCATGTCCGGTGAGGACCTGGCTTCTAGCTTCTAGATTAAGAGTAGGATATAATGTTATTCCAGCAGCTGTAGCCATATGCCACTTAGCGCTTGTCTACATGTAGATTAAAAAACCAAGTTTTATGGAATTGACGTAAATTTTGACACCTGTCACTGTCATCCCCATACATTTAGTTTTCTACTCTCTCTGCAGACAAGCGCTAAAGTGGCGTTTGGCTAAAAGCATAGACCATAGATAATCTATACCTGTTCTTTTCATCCCGATGCCTACAGCCATTTTGACATCAATACATAGTATAAAACAAAGTCGCTTTCGCTGTATGTCCTTATGTATGCTTAGATCTTTAAAACTACGCAACGGATTTTGATGCGGTTTTTTTTAATAGATAGAGTGATTCTTAAGGAAGGTTTGTATGTATAATACATGCATATTGCACCCGTGCGAAGCCGGGGCGGGTCGCTAGTACTTGAATAAAATGTCTACATGTTTCTCCAGACCATAAGTTTTTAATCTACGTCTGTTCCAAATTTCATCCCGATCCTTACGGCCGTTTTGACAAGATTTAGTAACAAACATACAAACAAACAGACAAACTCGCAAACTTCCTCATTTATATTTTTTTAAACGTTGCCCCACACTAGGATTTCCCCCTGTGTCGTGAGCATTTACAAAAATACAAGTTCACATACACATGACACCCAGACCCGTAACAACAATCTGTGGATCACAAAAAGAGTTGCTCCGTGCGGGAATCGAACCTTTGGAACGTCACGCGGCAGCCGGTTGCCCAGCCACCGTACCAACTGTGCAGTCAATATAGCATATTAGTAGGTAAGAAGTAAGATATCAGTTTGACACTTGCCTGACACCCATCCTTTCCCTTTGAGAAGGCACACATCATAGTAGGTTTGAGGTGCTGTGACAGTTGTGAATTCATACAATCTTCATCGGACAGTATTCGAAGACTTGCTTTTAGTAATACTTTTGACGATGATTTCTCAACACCCACTCTACCCCAACCGACTATGGTTCCTATCCTATTTGAAAAAACTTCACCTGGAATTATAGTAATATAACTATAAAATATTATGCTACAGATAAGTTCGAAAACATTACTATAACAACGTAAGTTAAATCGAAACAAAACCTTACTTTTCAACAGATTAAAAACAAAATATAATTAAAAAATATTCTACTTTCTTTCAGATATTTAGACATTAAAATTGTATTTATTAATTTCAGGCATAATTATTATAATTTTCATAGTTAAGTTTTGAGACATAGGTATTAGATAAAAAATTTTGGCGTGTAAATACAAAATAATCCGCAAAAGACCATTAAAAAACGACAAAAAAATTAAATTATTTTTTAATTTACGTATATGGTTTCAACTCAACATTGTATCACGAAATGCTGTTTTTTTTGATGGAATTAAAATATCCACATAATATTTTAATTATTAGATAATTTTGATGTTCTCAAATTTAGGAATTACGTATTTAGTAACATGATAAATATTTAAAATTAATTACGACAAAATTAAATAACCAAAGGACATCGTAATGAAATCATAGACAAAATATCGACATCAATTAAAAATAAAAGAACAATTTCCTTTTTGCAATTTTATGGCGTTTACCTACTTAACATTTTAATGCATTGCCATGGAGATTTCGAAATAAGGAGTTATTATTTCTATTGAAATGCTAAACTGCTGAATCGTTAGGTACCTACCTCAAACCGTTATTAATTTATGTCTATAAGCATTTTTTGTCAAAAAATTAATGTTAAATATTTTTTACATATATACCTGGTGTAGGTAGGCATATTGGCACGATAGTTTCACTGAATTCAACTGGCCGGTTCAAAGTAGCGATAGCAATATCGTTCTCATCTCTAACCGCAGTAGATGTAAACGCTTCATGTATCACAACCTTAGAAATATTTCGTTTCTCAACATTTTTTAAATCATCTATATTATCCAGTCCTATTAAAACCTCCATGGTTCTGAAATCATCCCTGTAAAAAAAAACAAATTCTATTTTTAATTTTGACACAACGGCAACAAATTAGCGGGAAAAATATTCATTGTGTTAAATTGAAAATACTTTTATTAATAAAAAAACTACATTAATACAATGTGAACCTTGCGTTCATGAAAATCCAATCAGTGGAAATATTGTAAATTGTACTTATACCTAATACTTTGATTATAATAATATCGAAATAGAGTGTCAGTTCACGAAAAGCGGCCGTAAACAACTGGAAATGGTTATGATTTTATTTACTTAAGACGAGCATGCATGAAAAAATTGATGACTGTAGATGAAGCGAAAGAGGTATGTATGTAGGAATCGTAGTAATCGTAGTAATTGGCGTTCCCTAGTCTCTGCCTACCCTCATGGGAGACAGGCGTGAAGTTATGTACCTATGTATCTTACTTAGGCAGGTAAGTACGGTATATGTATGAATGATGTGAGAACTTTTACCATATAAATATTGTCAATCAGTAAGTTCATGCCAACATAAGTAAAATGGCAATGTTTCTAAGTACCTGAGTACTTACCGGGTATAAAAAGATTAATTTAAAAACTAATTCGTTTACTTAGATTGACTGGCAGCAGGTTTGAATGGAATTCTAGTTAGTAGATAAATGTTTTACGGCTCACTGACGTAAACCTACGCAGCTAACGTTGGCTGTGCGACACGCTCGACCCTCATATTGTAGTTTCTCGCACACATGAACATGAGCCCCTAGAATGACTTGAAACTAGTCGAGTTACCTCGTAAAACGTGAACCATAAAACATGAATAATTTAAAATGTTTCACAAAAATTAAATAAAAGTAGTATTTAGTTCATGTTTACCATTTAAAACAGTGTCCCGCGCTTAGAATGTGCTTGTTCGTGATCATCGCTCCGCCGCAATGCATCCGTTCAATTTTCAAGATGGCCACGGTCCAGGGAAATGAATGCGGCTCCGCTCTCCTCCCTCCCACTATCCTCATCGACACCACTCTGTCTGATGGCTTGCCACATTCTGCTCAGATACATATTAAAGAATATTGGATCCCTGCTAAGACGTACGGTGTAGATGAAATTAAGGCAAACGGTCCATGATAGTATCAACCTTCCTACCTGCCTACTCAAACAATATTTATTTAGCAACTGCTTTTTTTTATAATATTACATATTAATTCTCCACGGACTCTAGGTCCGTGCCCTTGTCATACAATTTTTAGCAACTGCTTATACACTTCTTCAGTATTTATATTTTGAACTAGCTGTGCCCACAACTTCGTCCACGTGGAATAGTGATGTGATTGACAGCTCCTCCCCCGTAGGTGATAGCCTGATAATATGTAGCCTATATGTTGACCCGACCTGTTAGTAATATTCATGCAAAAATTGAAGGTTCTATTGAATACAGTACTTTTTGAGTTTAGCCCGGACATATATACAGACAAACAGACAAAAATTCTAAAAACCATATTTTTGGTTTCGGTATCGAATGTGGATACCACAATGACAAGCATGCTTTTAAAAATACTTATTTAATGTACAGTTTTTACTTTCCTACGATTTTATCGTATGTAATAGATTAGCTTCATTATATTTACATATATGTATATTTCGTACAAGCTCCAAGTTAGAGACAAAAGGTGGATAAAATAATTTTGATCTCATGCCCCATGGAGGCAGACCTATACCTATAACAAACTTCCTCGTACCGGACAGCATCCTTCTAATCCAAATGCGTAAGAAACATGCTATGTATATAGGTATTCAAGTACCTACTTATTATTTGTGGAGAAGGTAACTTATAACATAACTAGATCTCAATTGATTTGTTCCTTCCTAATTCACTTTTTATGCAAAGGATTTCTTAGCTTTATAAGTCTCGTCTCTAATTCAATAATCTAGTCTTCTATTTATTTTATACGTATTTAGGACGTAGTTCTCTTATTGTTGTTTTGGGTGCAAATTGTGACCCTTAAATTTTATAAGCGGGCATTGCATATTTGATTCAGATGAAATGCTAATCAAAAGGCATTATTCGGACAGTTAACTGTTCCGTAGGAATCGGAGGCTCGGAGCGGGTTCAAGTGACACAATTCTCGACGCAGCGGCAGACCTCCTGTGAAACAACGGTCAGCAGCGCGTGTGTTGCACATAGAAGTAAGACAACTGCACTGGAAGCACGTGCATACTTGTTTTGCCACGGACTCGTTACATATCTAACCATAAAAGAAACAATTTCCTTTAAAGAAATAACCTGCCTTAGTGATCGTGAATCATGACGTTTAATTTGCAATAGGTACCTACAATGAACAGATCAATATGTATTTTGATCTTTGGTCTTTTCAATCTCAAAAATATCAATAAACAAAATGAAGTGGAAAGTTAGGGGGCAATTTAATCTAAAGCTGGACTAATTACATTATTCGTTTCAGTTTTACGTATTAGTTCCGATGATATTGACGTTCACGTTTTTCCGCCCATTAAGGCAGAACGAAAGTATTTATATTCTTATTTCGCTAACACGTTTTAAATAAATTCGATGTAGGTAATTACGTTGTAATACTTAGTTATCATCAATAAACTTACGACAGTCTGTGCCACGCACCAACTCCACCTAAAACAGGATCACTCTGTGATTTCGCGTAAGTTCGTGACAATGCAGCAACAGTATAAATTTGGAAAATAATACAGACCTGGCTGATCCCGATTAACAAGTAAATAGTACTCAATATTGTGAACATTTCAATATGTATGTTGGACACTGCACTCACTCATAGCCACTACCACCGCACTGTTTTCTGCAACCGATGTTTGCTTATTTACGCTCTACACGGATTTAAAACGCAGAAATTATCCACGCGATAATATCCTTGTAAATTTAACACGCTGAAGGTTATAAATTTTATCGTGAACATTAGAAGTATAATTTCCAAATGACATAATTAAATCAAACGTCGCTGCCCATTACCAGATTTGAGTTTGATCTCAAAGAATTTTAATAACAACAGAGCGTTCTATGCCCTCAGTATTTCGGTAAATATGTTTCAAAAAGTCGTAAACTTGTCAAATCGGTTCTCGATTCAATTTGTTTCTGTAGCCAATTTACGTATTTTCTTATCGCCAACCGATACGTTCTCCTACAGCAAACAATGAGAATTTTTCTTCTTATTAAAACGTTATGCATCGAAAACGAATATAAATCGTGTTAAATTGTTTGTTTATCAAGACGGGCTAGGATTATTACTTTTTCAGTTAAATAATACTGTAATTTTTCGATTTTTATTGTCCATCTTACAAAATGGTGATTTCTTAAAATTATACACAGTACGATCCTTCTGCAGTCTGCTGCCTGATCCAGGGAATGTACTTCCCCACGATTGTGTAGACACCTAAATACAAAAATGAATGTTTTGTTAATTTTGTAAAGAGTAGAATAAATAAACAAAAGAGAAACATAAGAGTTTACTTTCAAACACAAGTTACCTGGATAATCTGGCATGGCACAGTCTATACCCCAGGATACAATACCTAAAAAGTAAACAGTTTGTGTCATATCCACATGCATTATAAAACAATAGAAACGACTTTATCAACAAAAATGAAGTTTTAGAAAACATACCAACTTGATACCACTTTTTGTTATATGACCTTCGGTGAGTTGAAAATAATGGTCCACCGCTGTCTCCCTACAATTAAAAGTGCGTTAAAATTACGTGAATACTGACTTCCCTTCTTTCCTGGGACACGTCTCGCTTACGTCTACAGTCTAAAATAATACTCAAATAATTACCTGACATGCGTCTTTCCCAAGACTGTAAGCGCACATCATAGTATCACTGACCAGATTGTCCTTGTATATTGCCGATTTCTTACATTTTTCACCGTCCACAATCTGTACTTTGGTTTCAAGCAAATATCTTGATGATGTCAATGCACCCTGTCTGGTTTTACCCCACCCAGCGACTGTTAAAGGCAAGTTTCTAAAGTCCATTGCTAAAAACGAAATAAGTGATTAATTTCATACCTTAAATGGAACGAGTTAAAGATAAGATAGTGATTGAAAACAACTTTTAAATTACATTACATAAATCTACTTTTTTTACTCACAGTCCTCTGGCAGGCAAATCGGTCGAACTTTCTCTGAGAACTTGAGTCGGTTGTCAAGAGTCAAGATTGCTATGTCATTTATGTCCCGAACAGCATTAGAGGTGAAATGAGGGTGTTTTACACCATTCTCGACGCGCATAGACACGTAAGAAGTGTCGAGTCGATCATGCATGCCCACGTATACAGTCAGGTCACGATAATGTATCCTATAAAAAATTAAACGAAGTTAAACAGTATTGTTAAAAAATTAAATGTATTGTTCCAAAAATATGTGGGTATAAAAATTTCCAACCCAAAAGTGATGCAGTGTCCCGCTGTCAATATGTGCAAATCGGTGATGATAGCCCCTCCACAGTGCAACTTCGGTCCTAACATGAGCGACACCAGCCATGGGTACGCGTGAGGTTGCACGGTGGTGCCGCCCACTATACGCCGGTTATGCCCGGCGATACCGCACTCTACGAAAGTAAAAAAATATATATTCAACAATAAAATATCATGACATTACAAGTCATACTTGGTGTATTAAAAATAACTTACCACATGACGAATTTACTTTTTGTGCGTTTGCCTTAAAATAAAAATTAACATAATATATAATACCATAAAACAAATTCTGCTTTATAAAATAATTTCAATTCGGTAAATCGTTACGATTTATGTTGCGATTTGCCGTGAGCGTTAACATCAATTTCTTTAAATTGGACAAATGCGCAAAACTACATAAAAATTGTTATTTTTTGTAAATAATAATTTTAATAATACCAATAATGTTCTAAAAACAATATAAAGGAACTCACCCAACTGACTACAACACAAAGTACGAGCCATATCTTTATCATTTTATGGGCGTACTTAATACCAGGTAAACAGTTGACAAAAATTCCATCATCATCGGCATCGGTGGAATGATTTCTTCGACAATAAATTGTAATAGGAAATATATAAGAAATTAATTAAATTTCTGTTTGGGTATCGAAGTTCAATCGTGCGTAGATTACGACAGAGACATAATTGCGTTTTTCTTTTTCCATAAAACACACGCAGCGCAGCAGAATAAAAACGTTATCATTAATATTGGTATGATTATTTTATCGCCATATTGTAATAAATAAAAATATACCTAATAATATAAGGAATTCGCTGTAAATTTAAAAAAAAAATCTTATAATATTAAATATGGAAAAAAATGATTTTGCAACAATAAAATATTGTTATTCAAAGAAAACTTGGTTTTTCATTCTTTATCTTTATCTACATCCAATTTTCCATTTTCCAACCATCCTGACGGCTAATTATTCGGCCTTATTTTGTGACCAAATCATTCAAAATATTAAACCTTTGCCTTACCTATCATAATAATCCATACGCGCATCAAGCCCTAATCATAAAGTAAACGCTTAGTAAAGAGAATCAAAAAACCTAATTTTGAATCTAATAATGAACCGTTGTTCATAGTCCTTGAATACTATACAATTGCCTACTGTTTGCATAACCTTAAGAGAACAGTCTATAAAAGGAGACTCTTTCCAGCATTTCATTATTAATAATGATCACGAGTTAAAAGGTATTCAAAAGACTGAAGCAATATTTTGAAAATGTAAATAAGATTATTAAAATGAAATATATAGGAACTGATTATTCATACAAACATGAAGTCGTTTGGAAAAATGTGTTTGGATTTGTTTTCTTACATGCGCTTGCGTTTTGGGGTTTAGTTTTAATATTTACTGGAATAGCCTTATGGAAAACGAGTATGTGGGGTAAGTGTTAAAAGTATGTTCATACAAATTATGTTGTGTACTGTTCACTATAGACGAGCCGAATGTGGTATGCAAGGGCGTAATTGCAGACTATTTATGGAATCGCTAAATTATTTCTTCTTTTTATTCAGATATTTTTATTTCTGTTTTGTCGTGATATTTCAGCCTTATGTATTTTGTACATCGGCTCCGAAGGTGTTACTATTGGAGCTCATAGATGCTATGCTCACAGATCGTTCAAAGCCACGCCTCTTTTGAGAGCAGTCATGGTCATCACACAGACGCTAGCGGGGCAGGTAAACTTGTATAATATGATTAATATATCTGTAATTAATCTAAAATGAAACATTATGAATACTTATATCTAATTTCATTATTTCTATTCCCAAAAGTCCGTTACCAGCGTAGAGGTAGGTGGTAAACCCCTATACAAATGGATTCAATCAATTAAAACAAGTCAACTTCATGAAATTAATGTTGTAGCCAAGAGGAGATAAGGCCAGCCAGATAGTCAACGAAAATTAATTTGTTATTATAAAACTGCAACTTGTGTAACTGTGGTTTGTGGTTTTTTATTCATTTAATAGCCTGGAATTTTGTTGCATCAATTTATTATGATGGTACAGTAATGTATTATTTATTTTTGCAAACCTACCTATGTAGGTTGCGTAATATACGAGTATAATATAATAAAACCCAAAGACTCCGACCATAGACCTAAATAAAAACGTAGTCAGAATCACTATTGAAAAGCTGTAGAAGACAGATTACAGTCACTCTATGTAAAATACTATTCCTATTTTGTAAAATCTAGTACTCATTTGTAGAATTCTGTGTACACCTGGTGTCGTGACCACCGGCTCCATCATCGTTACTCCGACACGGATGCCGACCCTCACAACTCCAAGCGTGGCTTCTTCTTCTGCCACATCGGTTGGCTCATGCATAAGAAGCATCCCTACGTCAAAGAATTCGGAAAGATGATCAACATGAGTGACTTGCAAGGTGATTGGATGGTGATGTTTCAGAAAAAGTAATTTTGAATTCATCAGATTACAACTAAATTCTATTAATATATTTACAGGGCAATTACATAATATAGCTTAAACTCTTTGCTGAATAGCTAACTATCTATGTTTAATTTTTCAGGTATTACATAGTTTTATACCCAATATTAGCAATACTGCTTCCAGTTTGGGTCCCAGTGCATTACTTCGGTGAGACCTGGTGGAACTCTCTATTCGTGAGTTTCTTTGCTCGCTACGTATGCCAGTTGCACGGGACGTGGTGTGTCAACAGCATAGCACACCTCTACGGCACTAGACCGTATGATAAGTAAGTTTAAAGGTATTTTTTTATAGCATAAGCGTAAACGGGCAGATTGATCACCTGATGGTAAGCAATCGGTGCTGCCCATGAACACCCAAAACACCAAGTCGTTACAAGTGCGTTACCGGCCTTATGAGAATTGGGAATTTGAGGATTTTGGAGGATTTGGGGATTCGAGAGACTAGGGAGGGGGGTAATTGGGCCTCCGATAACATCACTCACACGACGAAACACAACGCAAGCGTTGTTTAACGTCGGTTTTCTATGAGGCCGTGGTATCACTCCGGTCGAGCCGGACCATTCGTGCCGAAGCATGGGTCTCCCACACTTAAATCACCACTTTACCATGATACCAAAAATCCATCGCTTCCTTTGGAAAAAACGCATTCAGCTGTATTTCATCAGCTATATTAATTCGCCTGAACATGGAATTCTTAACTTTGCAGGAATTTGCAACCTGTGGAATCATGGTTCGTATCCTTTTTAAGTCTAGGCGAGGGTTGGCACAACTACCACCACGCGTTCCCCTGGGACTACAAGGCCGCTGAGCTGACCATGCATTTCAATCTATCCGCCAGTATCATTAGATTCCTTGAAAGGATTGGATTGGCTTATGAATTAAAATCTGCTTCTACTGATATTGTGAGTATGCCTATTACTTACTGTTTAGGTACTTATTTTCTTATTCCCAAAATTGTGTCTCCAGGAATTTGGGATCATACTTTTCCATTCACTTTAATTAGTACCCACTTCTTTATCATTTAATAACTTTAATTTTTTCTCTTTCATTATTTAGTAACTCTTATACCTTGTTCGTACTATTTTAGTTAACTTTAAAGTTTTGGGACAGAAGCGAGGGGGATATACTAAACACTCGCTGCTCGACTAAAATACTACCATAGAACGAACAAGGCATTACTTCCATCCTACTAATACGTATTATTAATGCGAAATATTGTGAGTTTGTGTATTAGTGTGTTTGTGTGTAGGTATGTTTGTTACTCAATTACGTCAAAACAGCTGCAGAGATCCAAATGAAATTTGGAACAGAGATAGATTATGATCTAGATAAACATGTAGGATACTTTTTATCCTACGGGAACTGGGGCAAAATCGCGGGTAATAGCTAGTACTTTATATCCCTCTTTTCTCTAGCCATCCCATACCCTTCAACCTGTTCAATAAGTAGTTGAAATAAATTGCTCAGTGCAAAGTTTACAGAACTCATATCCAGACTGGATGTTTTGTTGTATTAGGTAGCCAGTCGTGTATTAAGGACGGGAGACGGCAGTCACTACAAGATGGGCACTGAAGAAGGACGCGCGGCGGTGACAGCGTGGGGTCCACTACACCCTCTCAACCCTACCTACAACACTACTCTCACGGCACCAGACGTCATACTCAATCCAAGAGAACTAACACTATGCAGTTAAATTAAAATCGACATTGACACAAAAGAAAGTCTGAATATAGTTTAAGCATAGGTACTCTTAATTTTTCTTAAGAATATTTTTGTTTAGATTTTTGATTTGATTTTTCGATATAACTTATTAATTCCAATCATTGTTCATCTGTTTGATCTGAATCCATAGTCTGATCTTCCATGGTTTTTTAGAGGTTAAACATGTAAAGTAAAAGCACGTAGGCCCAACAAACAGCTTAGCACATCTCCGAAAACGAAGTACTAAGAGGCAAGGTCATTACAATATGCAAATGTTTCCATTAAACGAAATCTAGCTCAACGAACAATGTCACACGTAATTAACATAAAACAACAATAGTTCAAGTTCTGTGCTCTATTGCAACAATGTATAAATTATTTCATAATAACAATTGAAATACACAAAAGATTTAAAACACCATTCATTACTATTTTCCATATATATTTGTATGTGTACAAACACCATGAAATATGTATAATTGTACCTGAAACATTTGACGGTACAATACGTAGGTAGAACCACATCTCCAAGTAGGTTCCAAAGATCTACTTACCATATTGTAAAGAAGAATTTAGACTAAGTGGTGCTTATTATAGAACAATATCGAAAGGCAAATAAAGAAAGAAAGACAATAATGAAAGAAATGCCCACAGAAATAAAGAATATTATCAAAACTTATTTTGTTTTCGTATAAACCACAAAATATCTTGTTATTTTTAAGACAGTTAATTAATACACTAAAACCTTCTCCTAAGTGTAACAAACACTTTTGTGCAAAAAAACACCAAAATCAATTCAGCCACTCGCGAGATAATCGCGCACAAACATGCATACATATAGGTAATACTGATACAGACCAGCAAATTTTTGAAGTCGGTTAAAAATCGTTTTAGCTCATGGAAATCTACAGCCATAAATAAATGTATTGGAAACTAATGTATGAAAAAAGGAAAAAATAACCACAAATCCCACTCCATAAAACTAAAAATTGAACATCTGAACTTGATGATAAGCATCAACTCTATTGAAATCCAATCAATCTCACCAGCCATATGCCGCATGAGACAACAATGTAAGAATGTTGTAATACATTTAACATACAAAGAGGAGTTCAAGTTCGTTCAATTGCTCAAACATTATTGTGATCAAACAAGGTTTTTACTATACCTTTTATAAATACTGACCATAATTAATTGGATCAGTATCGAGTTGGTAAGTTAGGAGTAAACGTCTAGCAAAACAAAGAAAATGACTGCAGCAAACATGGAAACCAAAGCTCCTTCAAGTAACGATCTGAAGAATCCAATGAAAGATGGAAATGTGAATAAAGCAGAAACCATGGAAATTCCGAAAGTGATTGGAACTGATTATAGTTATAAACATACTATTGTATGGAAAAATGCTATTGGATTCTTGATCATGCATATCCTTGCTGTTTGGGGAATTGGTCTACTATTCGCAGGGTACATGAAATGGCAAACCGTAGTATGGAGTAAGTTATAGATAGTAAAATTTAACTAAAATTTCATCAATTGACGAAATTTTCATGACACAAGTTTCCATGACTCAACGACTATGACGTGTAAGAATGTATTTTTATTTACATTTTTTTTTTCAGTTTTTTTCGTCACTTTCCTGGGTTCTGAAGGAGTAACAATAGGAGCCCACCGTTTTTACACGCACAAATCATTTAAAGCAACTCCGTTCCTTAAAGCCGTATTTATATTATGTCAAACTATTGCTGGACAGGTAATAATTACAAATAAATTTTAATAACATTACATCACTCCTGGTTTTAACAGTTAAATCTCTGTTAACAGAAGTTTTCTAATTTTATTAATTGAATTCTTCTTCCCTAGTTCTTTTAGCACCAAGTCTTATTATAGTTTTGAGGCATACCTACCTGGGTCCATAAAAATCAACCATTAATTTTCAATCAATGCAATTTTCATGTTATATGTATCTGAACTTGTATGTTTGTAAACGCACCCACGACACAGGAGAAAATCCTAGTGTTTGGGGCAATGTTTAAAAAAATGCATCTGTTACACTATCTACGTTATTATCTTTTTTCAGAATTCTATGTTCATCTGGTGCCGTGACCATCGTCTCCACCATCGTTACTCCGACACTGACGGGGACCCTCACAACTCCAAGCGTGGCTTCTTCTTCTCTCACGTTGGTTGGCTCATGCATAGGAAGCATCCCTACGTTGTAGAACTTGGCAGAAAGATCGACATGAGTGACTTGCAGGCTGATTGGATGGTGATGTTCCAAAAAAAGTATGTTACCATTCTAAATAATGTTTTAACACACGATTTTGTCTGTATTAAGTCTTCTTTGACTGTGATATTCAAATCACCAAATATTTGTAGGCTGGGTTACAAATCTATAAATACCTTTAAACGTTTCTGGCTTTCTGGGATTGTCAGTTCATCAAGAGACCTCTATTATTCATGACTCGGAAACAACAATTATGAAAGCTTACTCCATATTTTTTTCTCTTTTCAGGTATTACTATCACCTATATTTCGTCTTGGCCTTCTTGATACCTGTGTGGGTACCAGTACATTTCTTCGGTGAACCTCTATTACATTCCATCCTAGTTTGTTATTTCGCCCGTTACGTGTTACAATTGAATGGAACTTGGCTAGTTAACAGCGCTGCTCATCTTTATGGAACTAGGCCTTATGACGCGTAAGTAAATATATATAATATTCTGTATGTTAGTCATAATACCTCATCAAATTATTCGAATTTTGTGATATATAATGTATCAACGGAATTAATCAATCTTCTCATCACGGAGTCAAGATTTCTCGACAAATGCAGTTCTAATTATAAATGTCAATATTATTTAACAGTAGGTACCTACCTATTATATTAAGTGACATTTGATTTTCCTTTAAACTTAATATTTATACTTATGTTTTCAGAAAACTACAGCCAGTAGAGTCATGGTTTGTCTCAATGATAAGTCTGGGCGAGGGTTGGCACAATTACCACCACGCGTTCCCCTGGGACTATAAGGCAGCTGAGCTGACCATGCACTTCAACCAATCCGCTAGTATTATACGATTCTTCGAAAGGGTAGGATTGGCTTATGATCTCAAAACCGCTTCACCTGAACTGGTAAGTTTTTGTTGATTTAAATGAAGAAATATATAATGTGTCTGGAAGCCAAAATAACAATAAATCCTCCTTTTGAGATAAAAAATATAAAAACGAAATGCAAAGCTATTTAGATAACAATTAAACTTATGTCGGACGCCATCCTAAATAAAATTAGGTCAATATATTTATTTATTAACTCCAGCATTCCCATTCGAAACAAGTAATTAGGATGATAAATAACATAAAATAATAATGTTCCAACTATAATAACTCTATCCATGTCCATAAAAAGGTATCAAACAGGATCATGAGAACTGGAGACGGCAGTCACTACAAGATGGGCACTGAAGAAGCACGCGCGGCGGTAACAGCGTGGGGTCCACTACACCCACTCAACCCGACCTACAACACCACCCTCAAGGCACCAGACGCCATACTCAAACCAGAAGGACTACCACTTTATCACGAAAAGGATACTCTCAATCTCACTGTCATACAGAAAAACTCCAGACGTGGTTGATTATTGTCAAAAGTGTCAAATGTCAGCCTTTGTTAAAGTATTCGTAACTTGTACATCATAGTCAATGTCTTAGCTAATAATGATTTACGACGCATCGCGTTGCACCACAGATGGGGCCCAATAGGGCTGATGCTGATACGGAGCCGCGGAGGACTTAACGGGTTGGTTTTTAGTCAGTCTGACACTCCCTCTCGCCTCACCCAAGGCGGCAGAAGTCATTCGTTGATTAAACCCCAAAAATTAAGCTATTAATGATTATTTTTGTGACTTTAGATTTTTATCAAGTATTTTATACTAAGTTAGGTTTAAGGACTGATTAAATAAATGATTTCATTTTTACAAAATTATGCGTGTGTTCTCATTTTTTGTCCTCTGAAAATTTTAAATTATTTTTACAAGGTATATATAGTACCTACCTATGTCTTTTTGTGTGACAACGAAAATGTTGGTTTTGATGGTTTTGAGGAACTTGTCACTTTGTTCATTCAAGTAATATGCACCATCAAATCAAGCTTTTATTTTTTTTTCACGAAGTTACCAATAGCATAGATCTTAGATATTTCGGTGATTCATTTTTATATTTACATATATATATATTATTATACGCCTATATTTAGATACGCCTTCACAATAAACCATAAGTGTTTCACATTATATGCATATTATATGATTATATATTATATGAAACCTCATTACTTTGAGAGCAATAAATGTAACAAGCTAACAAATTGCCACTTATGCAAATTACTTGGAATTGGTCCATCAATCCAATTTCGCGATTTGTAACACATATTAGCACTTAGGTACTAGCTGGTTAGTACATATTGGAAACATCTTGCAGATTGTGTATTATTTTAATTAATTTGTTGGCACGCTTTATCTAGTTCGACCGGTGCCGGTAACAAACTATGCATGTAAAATACGTATAAATAACGATAAAAGAATTTTTTTATTTCATAATAAATTAGAAAATATATCTAATAATAATATCAAATCAGAAATAAATAGAAGTTCAAATTCACTCAGTACAAAAACATCCAGTTGTAACAATACTTCGAATCCAGTCGACATATTTCGTGACCCGGGTGTAGACGCCCGGGTAGCCTGGACGACCACATCCTATTCCCCAAGAAACCACACCTGTAAACCAAATAATTATGGGAATGATGTAGAATACAAAACAACAATTATCATTAATTGTTATAATTTTCTATTTATTATTTCTTTATTTGCCACGTTGGCCGAGTGGTCGCAAATGCGACTGCCGGGCAAGGGGTCTCGGGTTCGATTCCTGGGTCGGGCAAAGAATTACTTGGTTTTTTGAAAAATTTCCCAGTATTAGCACGGAGTCTGGAATTGTACCCGGCATATGGCAATAAGCTCACCCCCTATTACATGGGACTTATAACATAAATAGTGAAAAGTGTGTATTACATTGTCCAGTGGCAATAAGTGGTGTAATGTGCACCTCTGCCTACACCTTCGGGGATAAAAGGCGTAATATTATGTTAGGTTATTTTTTTAATTGACTTTGGATCTTTATGTCTCCTAATAGTTTTAATACTATACTGACTCTACAAATAAAGTAAGCTAAAATTTAATTTTATGTAAATTTTAACTAATTGCACACGAGCACATATTTTAGCTAAACCGCGCTGGGGTCACGTAAAGCCTATCTGGAATATACAGCAAATATTTCAACCGTTTCTTACTCTTACCTAGTTGTTCATGACGTTTGTCATTCCTCTCAGCTGAAAGAGGACCACCACTGTCTCCCTGTAACAGAAAGAAAACCATGCACGATTTTAACAACTCTCCAGCTGTAGCCAAATGCCATTTAGCGCTTGTCTACATGTAGAATAAAAAACCAAATTATATGGAATTGACGTAAATTTTGACACTTGTTAATGTCATCCCCATACATTTAGTTTTCTACTCTCTCTGTAGACAAGCGCTAAAGTGGCGTTTGGCTAAAGCCACAAGTATTGAGATTTTCAAAATGAAACGTGCTCACGTGTACATTTGACATATTTAAAAACGATTAAAACCTATACTCAGTACCCATATATGTTCAAATTAAATATTTAGTACTAATTATAGTTAATTCAGTACTTAGTAGTGAATAGGAACATATATGCATCAAGCAAGATCAAGGATCATTTTTCCTATTAAAACTACTTCGTTTATCTACCAATAATAAACGAAACGTATATCCCTGACTGATGACTATTGAGGAAGTGAAATCGTAGCAATTGACGTTCCATTATAGTCTCTGCCTACCCCCATGGGAGATAGGAATGAGGTAAGTATGTATGTATGTATGTATGTATGTATGTATGTATGTATGTATGTATGTATGTATGTATGTATGTATGTATGTATGTATGTATGTATGTACCTGACAAGTGTCCTTCTTTCCTACTCCTGGGTACCCAGCACACAGCATGCCATCACCAATCATTTGCGAAGTGTAGTTGGCGTTCTTGCAAGCTTCGTTGCTTAGTATTGGGAGATCCACTTCTTGAAGGTAGCAGGAGTGGTTCTTACCCTCGGCTACGGTACCCCAACCAGCGGCCATTGCTTTAACGCCTACATATGTTTTGTCTGAAAGTCAATTGTATTGTTAGAACTCTGTATTATTATCCTTCTTTGCGATAAGAGCAAAAAAATTATCTTATGGGTGTTCTGAAAGTTTCCAATCTGCAATTCACAAGTCATCCATCTATCAACTCTATTAAAATGCTGTTAAATCATGTCCAAGACTATCTTTTATGTTAATTTTGTATATAGGAATATATCTAATTGATTCTTCACAGAAATATCATACCTAAAGATCTATCAGAGTACACAATTGTTAAGAATTTGCGAAGTAACCGTTAGCAATTCACAAGTTTTATTTAGAAGAAATTCAATACCGTTCAATATAAATAACTGTCATTTGGAAATACCATATCAAGTAAGGTTTAGTCACAAAAGGTGTACCTATAGCTCATGTATCTAAAGTCCAAAAATAAACTAAGTCTTAAATCATAACTTCATCGTATTTTTGAAACTAGGACTGATTGAAGTTACACGTCAACAGACCGTGATAGTCCTCTGTTGGGTTTTAGGCTTTAGGCCTAAGTGGGATTATCACCCTTGCTAGGTGAATAATAATCAAGTAATCAAGTATTTATTGCATCCATAATGTACACATACGGGTGATTAGGAAATACAATACCTAGTAACAATTACAGAGCCTGTCGAGCACAACGAATTAGTTTTGAAAGTTTCAGGTTTACAGAAACCGCTGCTCCTGGTCTCTGTCAAATTTTTAGCCCTTTATTTGGCGCTGAGAGAAGATGTGGTAACAAATAGGTATAAGCAGATATGCAGATATTTTATTCTGTTATCATTGCATGGCTATTATTAAAATAATAATAAACGGTCATTATACTACCGTCACTCCGTGGCAAACAGACAGGCTTCACAGTATCTGTGACCTGCACTGGTTCGTTCAGCTTAAGGACGGCGATGTCATCCCGAAACGTAGCGAAGCTGAAGTTATGGGAGACCATTTGTACGACATATCGGGTCACTGGGCGATGTGTAGTGTTACAACGGTTGTGCTCACCTAGAGTCACTTTGATCATGAACCACATGAATCTGGAATATTGGAAGTAGAATGATTTGCTAGATATGTAACGTTTGTAAGAGTCGTACCTACTTAAAATTTATTCAAATATACGACTTCGCCACACCATACGCTGCTAATAAATATGAATCTCGATGTCACTAGAAACTAGTAAAGAGTAGTTAGATTTAAGTAAGCCGTATATTTAGTTAAAGTAGAAGAACCTATCTTAACTGATGACTGACGTGATTTGCTGGAACATAGGTCGACGCGATATAGCGGCAGTCCAGGTAGGTTCTCTGGTACTATCAATGAACAAAGGCCGTAGATTGACATCATTGAATATTTTAATTTTAACATTGGTTATTATGTAAAAATGTTTCAGTTTTAGCACAGAGTTTTAGATACGATGATTTTGAGAAGGTAGGTATAAAATACGTAACAAAACAGTAGAAATAACTTATCAAAACTATTTCAATAATAATATCGGGAAAAATAATTGTGTTAATTTTGATTATAATTGCTACATACGTCTTAACACAATGTGCAGCAGTGAGCACGTATCTGTCGTTGATGAGGGAGGCACCGCAGTAGAACTTGTTGTGAAGTGACAGTCGGGCCACCCAGGGGAACTCGTTCACAGCTGTCTCCACCCCGCCGACTATTCGCGAAGCTTCATTTCTCTCTCCACAGCCTGGTAATCAGAATAAGTAATGCAATCTTGTTAATATCGTGTAATAGTGTGTTGTGTGTATGTTTGTTACTCACGTCAAACAAAACAGCTGATGGGACTGGGATGGAATTTGGAACAGGGACAGATGGTCTGGAATGACATATTGGCTACTTTTTATCCCACGGGAACGTCGTCGAAGCCGTGAGCAGAAGCTTGAAGAACGAAGACGAAGCAGAAGTTGAAAGAGTATTGTGGGATTTACTTTTTTAGAGAATGCTGAGTGATAAACTTTGCTAGAGTCCGTATTTCCTGAAGGACTTCCAAGTAAATAGTTCGCTTATGGATCGACGTGCTCGTAGACCGCAACATCGCTTACCACCAGGCGTGACAGAGGTCAAACGTCTGCCCATCAAATATAAAAAAGAAATCCGAACAGCTGGACCTCCTAGTTAGAAAAGAATTGTACTGGACTACGGACCACGACCGATGGAGACGTGCTTATGACTGTCTGCTGAGTCACGATCCTCATTAATAAGAGAGTGACAGAAAGCGTGGGACAGCTTAAAAACCTAAAATTTTGTAAGGGTATTGAGGTCTCCATAAAAAATGTGAAGGTAACGAGTAACCGTCTCATCTTTTTTGTGTCACGCATAATAATAGGTCGGTCACGATAAAATATGCTAACAACATTAATGAATTATAAATCTTATCGTACATTAATTAAATGTAGACTTTATTTTAATTGAATAAAAGTTGAAATAATTAAGTTTCTCAAGCATGTCCAACAGTATTATTTGCTTTACCATTGACTCGAAACCAAAAAAAGAATCCTTATTTCTTAAAGGAGTTTCTTTAGAAGTCGGTCTAGGCTTCTGTGTAAAAACACTACCAGTTTAAAAACTTATCACTATCGTCGTTAGTCCTTAGACTCTTATGTCGGAATACTCAAACGCTACTCAATTTTAAGTCGCGCTTAAATATAGTTCTGTCTCCACAAATTCTTTGTAAAATGACAGAGATGGCACGATATTTAAGCACGACTTAAAATTAAATAATGTTTCTGTATTCCGGCATTAGAGCCGTGCCAGCATGCTAATTTAGCGGCTGTTTTTGTTGCGAACCTATTGATAAGATTTAATATACTATACCTAAAGTTAAATTGAAAAAAAATTCTGAAGCCATTGAAGCACACCTAACAAACGGCATTTTTTGCTTTGGAAACTATATTTTATACAAAGTGACATAGAACGACATACGATTTAAAGTTCATATTTGAATGACAATGACATTGCTAGGTTGAAACCGTGCCGGAGCCGTGCTTGTTAGGTGTGCGATGACCGTAGTCTACTTATGTACGTACAGTATTAAGATAAATAAATAATACTTACGACAGTTGCATTTCCGTGCATACTCTGTAGGTTCAGGCGCAGTTTCGGTCACCGGTTTAGTTATAGGTTCGGTCACCGATTCGATATCATTATCTGCCCCCACCTTGAAATATTTTATTTAATGGACCATTTCTATGGTTATTAACCCGAATTGAAGACTTTATTAACCTTACTTAAATCGTGAAAGGTAAATTAGGTAAGTATCGGTTTACATGTAAGACTTATAGCGTTATCTATTTATAATGACTATCGTGATCGTGAGACACTAAATTAACTAAAAACCGCGGGTTACTCACGTGAATATACTGAGAAGAGTTCTACTAGTTTCAAAGTCAAAGCACACAGCCATTGAGTAGGCTGCGCGACATCGCCGCGACCGTAAACGCTGCTCATGAGGAAGAACCCCTCTGTGGTTCGAAACTAGTAGAGCTTTTCTCAATATTTTCACGTGAATAACCCGCAATGTTTAGTTATCTGTTTAGTTACACTACGATAAAATAATTTGATATCTGAAACCTATATACGAGTAACTCAATTCAATGTTTTTTATCCTTAGTTTTAAGTTTTAAAGAATTTATTAATGTACAGTTTAAGTATAGTGTAGCTTATTTTATATTTTCAAGTCTAAGATATGAACATCGTAAAGAAAAGTTACATTTTCTTTAAATAAATAATACTTTAATACAGTATCTAAAACTCACCACAACATTCGTGTACACTCCAATTATAATCACGAACACAATCTTCCACATATCGCAAAAAATCAATTTCGACCAAAATTAACCGTCTTCGCTACAAACTTCTAAGATTTCTAAGACGATTTTCGCAATATCGGACTAGACGTGCATTTCCCACAACGGGATGCTGTATACAGGAATGAGGACGATGTACTCCATCGAACCAGGGCCATAAACTTGAACTTGTATTCAGTGTATACCAAGACATCTACATCATACTGGTACAGAGATCTAGACCAAAGCCGTGTCTGGGTCATTTCACTAACCATTGCACTATTACATTGATACAACTTACAAAGTAAGCGATGTTCAGGAGCAATGTATTTGAAAACTTGCGATATTTATATTAAACTTGACTGCAGAATTCTTGTTCCAATATTATCATAAAATTCAAACCAAAAGTATCAATACGGTTAAGTATTATACGGAATATGAAGATCCCGTTACTTGCGCATAAGCATTGTATTAAAACATGATGTCATCCCGACATAACTCTATAATCTACACTTCGGATAAAAAGTAACAAAAAAATCAATAAGTCAATAAAGAACCGTTGCTATAGCAACAAACATATAATTAACTATTCAAATTAGCTATTAAACAACGGAAATATGATGAATAGCATACAATTTGTTTATGACTATAACTGTATTGTCAAAACTTTACTAAAAGAAATAAAACAAAACTGTACGGTAATAAAACGTAGTTTATTGCATTTTGCTGTCATCGTGGACAGAAACAAATAGCGAACTTTGAAAAGAGAACATTATTAAAAAAATTAAATATGATATCATAAATAGGTATACAGTTTTTACATGGCTACAAAACCTAATTTCACAATATGGCATTATAAAAAAGGCTTGTTAGTTGACACACTGGTAAGTATTGGAGATTCTTGGGTACTTTCCTTAATAAAAAAAATGAATAATTTCAACAGTTCAATACAATGAAATATTAAAAAAAATCGTACTTTGATTAATTAATTTTATGAACAACTTAATTTTAGTATTTATACAGCGAAATTTTAAGAAATAAGCACGCTGTTTGGCGCTATAAAACGTGACGACACAATACACAATCTCGTACATAAACTATCTGTTTCGCCGGTTCGAAAAAAGTTTTTGATTTTGACTAGATGACAAGTACCCAATTGGACTGCACACACAGTATAGGCCGAAATTAATAACTAAACTTACTGGATCGATTTAAGGTTTTGAGAGAAAGTCAGTCTCAATCCAATCAAAAAATTTTGTATATAACATAACATCACGCCTTATATCCTCGAAGAGTTAGGCAGAGGTATACATTATACCACTGTACAATGTAACACCCACTCTTCACTATTTATGTTACGAGTCCCATGTAATAGGGGATGAGCCTATTGCCATATACCGGGCACAGTTCCAGACTCCGTGCTACTACTGATTTTTTTTAATAAAACCCAATATTACTTTTTCCGACCCGGGAATCGAACCCGAGACCCCTTGCCCGGCAGTCACAATTGCGAGCACTAGGCCAACGAGGCAGTCAGAAAATTTGTATAATATCAGTTATTATTTTCAGACGTACATCAGCTAGATATATCCCGCAAAAACTTCATAGACAATTCTTATTAACTAATTTCCTAAACTACCTAAATATAAATAAGTGTCTTCAATATTTACAATAACACCCCTCTTGCGTATTGTCTCTGATCCAGTCTAAGTACTTCGTGACCCTCGTGTATACTCCTGGATAACCTTTCCTGGCACATCCATATCCCCATGATACTACACCTATAAATAAAAATTAAGGGATCTGTAAATTTTTTTGAAAAGAGCACTTCAATTATGTCAAATATTAAGGAATCGGTAACTTTTTTTGGAAAAATTACTTCAACTATGTCAAACATTAAGGGACCTGTAACTTTTTTTGAAAAAAATACTTCCACTATGTCAAACATTAAGGTACCTGTAACTTTTTTTTTAAAAAGCACTTCAATTAGATATTTTAGACTGTGTCATACTTTACTTAATAAAGTACTAATAGATATAAGATCATATTAGGCAACGTTTTTGAGGAGAAATCAGAGAGAAAGAAAAATAACTTATGTATACTATATCCTACCTCTATATAGAAACAAACAACTAATTTACCTATTAAATCGTACATGTGATCTTCATTCTCTGTAATCAAAGGTCCTCCACTGTCACCCTAAAAATAAAATTAAATGCCGATGTTAAAACACAGAAACAATGTTCTGAAGGTCATTTTTATACATCTTAGACTATATACACTGACAGTCCACATCCAAAACAAACTTTAAGAGATAGTAAATACTTAAATGCCCATTTGAGTCAAGAAGGAGTGATTTTAAGCGTGATCGCTGAGAAAAAATGATTGGATTTGTCGAATTTTGTCCACATGCCACAATAGGCTCGTTTTCTATTATGTAGTCATGATATGGCTGGTAAAAGCCGATGGTAGGTAATGCGCACTCGGCCTACGAGAGATAAATACTACATGTATAGTATAACTAGCTACTTCCGCGCGGTTTCACAAGCTCTGCTCAGCTCCTATTGGTCGTACCGTGATGTTTTATAGCCCATAGCCATCTTCGATAAATGCGCTATCCAACACAAAAAGAATTATTCAAATCAGACTTGTAGTTACAGAGATTAGCGCGTTCAAACAATCAAACAAAAAAACAAACTCTTCCGCTTTATATAATAGTATAAGATTATACATATGTTCAATAAATAGAACTCGTAATTTTGTTTTCTTTTTTTTTTTTTTTATACCACGACGGTGGCAAAAAAGCACACGGCCCACCTGATGGTAAGCGGTTACCGTGGCCTATGTACGCCTGCAACACTTGGGGCATTACATGCGTCTTGCCGACCCTTAAAAAACCTATTCACCGCCCTCTTGAAGAACCTCATGTTGTAGCCCACTGGGAAAACCACGGCAGGGAGCTCATTCCACAATCGGAGGGTCCGTGGGAGAAAATTCCTCTGAAACCGAACTGTACGGGACCATTTTGGCTCCAATGAGCGAGCGTGAACCCCCTGTCGATGGCGAGCGGTGCGATGATAAAAAGTGGCCGTGGGCATCGTATCAAATAATTCTGCAGAACATAACCCATTATACAAGCGGTAGAACACGCACAAGGAGGCAAAATTCTAAGAATCTTACTCACAGTACAAGCATCCTTATGCGCGGTCTCAGGGAACCCAGCGCACATCATGACCTCCTTGATCTTGGTGGCATTGTAATTAGTGTTGCGACAGGCCTCATTGCTTAACACCGGCAGCTCAGCCTCCCGCACCGTGCACGACCACTTGCCTGTCTCGTTCATTGCTCCCCATCCCGCTACTATTGCTGTCTTACTCGTGTATGAATTGTCTGGAAGGTACAGCAAGAATTGTGACTATTTTCAAGACACATACCAAAGAGAAATTAAAATCTAGGTAGGTTTTATTTCATACATATGTACCGTAAAAGCAAAGAGTTGATGAAAGAGAAAAAAAGAAAGAAAAATCTTTATTTCACGCTAAAAAACAAGTGACATGTACAAATGTTCTATTAGTAGGTACTGATGAATTAATGTTCGCGTCTCAAGTCTGCCATGAAATGGGACCAGTTCAGCATGTGCAAAATAGGGCCTTGAGCAATTATTCTTCTGGTCCCTTAAGTAACTCGCGGACGAACAAGCCACGAATTAGACATCAGCAATGATGATACACATCACACTCAGACAATATACGAACCAACCAAACATATATTTGTATGTATTACGTATGTCAGTACCAAAATTCACAAAAGCGCCTTTTATAACGAACATTCCGAATTTTATTTCAATAACTAATTTATTTATGCCCTTATTGGTCATTTGGTTATAGCATGTTGTAAAACGGGCACCAGAATGAAGGGATCAGAATAATAAATGTCTTTGTCAAGAAGTTATATGGAAACTTGCACTGTAGCAAAATTAAGCTGTATACCTAATTTATGTGAACTGCAGTCTTTAAAATTATTTGCATTAAATGAGATTCAAAATCTCCTGATTCGTGAAAATTCTGCACGAAATCCTTGGAATTAATTAGATTAATCTGTCAGATGGAACTGTGATTCGTATCTCCGTTTTTGGTGTAAACAAAATTCTTTTAATTAGTTCGTATTCAGTACCAGTTACATATATGTACCGATGTTGCGTATCTGTGTTGAACTTTCGTATCTTGTTTAAAATCAGCCACACTAAAAATCCCAAAATATTTGCATGATCTAACAAAATAATTGACAAAGCTTGCAGAAAGACATTATGATTTTACTTGATTAAGAAAGAAATTTGACATTTTGTCCAAAGTCCTTACTATCTGTCGTAGGCAGGCACACAGGTCTGACGGCATAGGAGTACTCGACAGGTTTGTTCAGCATCAGCAGTGCGATGTCATTGCTAAGGTCTGACAGGGTGAAGTTGTGAGCGATGATCTTCACCAGGTAGCGAGTCATTAAGGCCTGCTGGCTCTTGTCACAACGGTCGTGTTCACCGAACTTAACACGGAACAAGAACCACATGAACCTAGGAAATAGAAATTGAAATTAGTACATAATATGCAAGTCTTTGTAGATTGGCCTGCAAATAAAAAAGAAAAAAAGACAAGAAAATGTAACGAAACCTCATTTAACATGTTAAATGGTCACTAGTGACCGATTTTAGCATTAAAATTTTTACCTTCAAAACTTTTCTATTGGCAGTCAAACGCTCAAATGACTTTTTGTTAATATTTATATCTAATAAGTATATTAAGTAACTTAAGACGAATTGGTTTTACAGTATTTTGTTTATTGACATTATAAGTAAGCTATCAAGAATTAGTGTTTTTATTTTACTGATTGGTATTTTTGCAATTGTTTAAACTTCTTTACTTCTTGAAAATTGATTACATCTTAGTCTTCTTACCCTTTCACACAATGTGCAGCAGAAATAACGAATCTGTCATTGATGAGCGATGCAGCACAACCGAAGGCCTTCTCGTAGATGAGACGACCGAGCCACGGGAAGGAGTTCACATTAGATTCCATACCACCAACAACTCGAGGCTCCTCATTACGTTCTCCACAACCTGGTACAAGAAAATTGTCATGAGATCAAAATGAATGAACAGAAATTTACTAAATTGTATGATAGTAATGGATAATTTGATGAACAAATAAGAGAATAGTGGTTAAACGTGAACATAATAAGCATGCTATATTAAACGCTGATTTGTTAACCGCTGTATTATACAAACTCTACGCTGTAAATACAGACCTCTTTTGACATATAGAGATCTAGTCATATTTCACTACCCAGCAGCTGTAGCCAAATGCCATTTAGCGCTTGTCTACATGTTGAATAGAAAACCAAATTGTATGGAATTGACGTAAATTTGGACACTTGTCAGTGTGATGCCCTTAAATTTAGTTTTCTACTCTCTCAGTAGACAAGCGCTAAAGTGGCGTTTGGCTAAAGGCCTATATGTATCTTTTGTAACTACTTTTGTAATAGAACCACTTTTAGAGTCAAGCACTAGAGAAGGAGGCCCAATAATATACAGTTATGTATAACCTATGTCTAATATGTATTATTATTTTTCTTTTTTTCAACTATGAATAGTAGGTAGTATTTTTAGGACACACCTGCTTCTCGTTTCATTAACGTCCATTGAACTTATATACCTGAAGTACTCTTAAACGTGTTACAACTTATAATATTTTAATTTAAAGTATTTACTCTTCTTACACTTCACTTCGTGCTCAGAAGAAAACTTCAGATACTCGAAATTGGTTTAAGTGTTTATTTACGAATCCTTTGATGTCAAAAGTACTTAGGATATGATAGAAAAATCTATTTACCTGCATCAACATGCATTTATTACATGCACATATTTTTTTAAAGACTTGTGCTAAACTGTGTTTACAAAATATTACTATTATCTGATACTACTGATAATTATCCTGATGATTGAGTTTTTTTTCGATAACAGGGGGCTTACTCTTGAATCCAATTCCGATCGATCGACATTGGCATTGTGAAATTTCGTACTCTTGAGTTGCAACACTAGCGCCCATTGCATCCGTATCGCGAGGATATTGAATGGACTAAATGGTATTGAGTTTCGCATTATATTCCGTACTCTCATTGCTATTTTAACAGCTACGATAGGAGTGTATAGTTTTGACATTGAATAATTATAGAGATTTTATTGGATTGAAATTGCATTGACATTGAGATTTATTTCAAGAGTAAGCACCCTGATCTGGGATTCGCATTGCCAGACGATACTCCTCAGATCTTGCATAATGTTTATTGAAAAGCCCAGACAACGATTTTTTATTCATTTACTTTGGTCAACTTGAAAAGTCTCATTAGTAATAAAGATGTACTTATCCTAAAATATACCTACATCTTTATGCTTTGTAGTTGTATATTTTCCTCTTAGAATTTAAGAATATACCTAAGAGGAAATACTTAGTCGTAACCACCAATAGGCATATATGCCGCTGTAAACCCCAAACCTTTGTCTTGACAACTGACAGAACATGAGGACAAAAGTAATAGTCTAAATAAACAAACTTACCGCAGTCTTCACAGGGTAAAATCTCCCTTTTGACATAATGAGATAGTCCACGAAAAGATCCTTGTGAAATCACGAGATCATCCTACGAAAATTACTTAATTAGTAAAACAATATGCCTATAGACTGCCTAGTTGGCCAAGTGGTCGCAAGTGCGACTACCGAGCAAGGGGTCTCGGGTTCGATTCCCGGGTCGAGCAAAGTATTACCGGGTTTTTAAAAATTCTCAGTAGTAGCACGGAGTTTGGAATTGTCCCCGGTATATGGCAATAGGCTCACCCCATTACATGGAACTAATAACATAAATAAAGAAAAGTGGGTGTTCCATTGTACAGTGGCATAATGTGTACTTCTGCCTATCCCTTCGGGGATAAAAGACGTGATGTTATGTTATATAAAACAATATAAGTATTATTATCAAAGTGTATTGAGTTATCTGATGAAAATACTGAAAAATAGAAAATACTGAAAAACAAATTGTGCTGACCACCAGTAGATTCCAGTAAGGCATAAAAAAGAACATTTGTATCTACTAGGGATTTTTAAGTCAATATAGATCGGGCTTTAGCCACCGTCTCTCCTGATGGTAAGCGATGATGCAGCTAACTGTGCAGTATCTCTTCACTCGTGACTTTTGCATTTAAAAAATGTGGTCCCAGATAGTTTATCTCCTTCTTCTGCACATCTTATCTTCATTGTTAGGCGGATCTTGATAAAAGACTTTACCTAATAGACCTTTTTATAAATTAATGAAATATTATTCAACGACGCGACGACCGGACGACCGACGACCATCTTTTATCTTTTTCTATTTGATTATGAAATACAAGCATGGCTTTCAATTTTATTGTAAATTCAATAACAACATAACGAAAGTCATTCTGTACCTATATTTATTTTTACTGTGTATCTATCTTCATTTTAAATGAGTGTGTCACCTCGACTTAGCATTTTGTTAACAAATTAATGCAAACATTGATCTACATAACTAATTAAGTTTTACCGTTTAGTCTAATACCTCATTTGATTGACATTAGTCGACTGTAGCCACGTGTTCCGAACCTGCCACAATAATTGAATTATTTATATTTACTTATATGAATCACTTTATAACTACTTAGCATGCGTACCCACATACGACAGCGGCTACATTATGGAAATCAAGTCGCCGATACGATACCTATTTAAAAAAAACTCCTATGCGTAGGGGCAACACCGTTTGAAATTTAAATTTAAATATTGTCAACTACTGTTATCCAACCTACCTTAGTTAGACTGAGCGGTGAGCTGCTACTAAACACACATAGGAAACAAAATAGGTAACACAACCACATTGTTATAATTTAATTAAGTTTAAACCAACACAACACTTTAACTTGAGTCCGCAACTTAAATATGTTACTCTCTTTAGAAAGTTGCATGCGCTTGGGGTTCAATGTTTTTGATACACTAAGTCATGTCTTCGATCCCGACGCACTTTATGGGTACAGAGACTTTAAAATGTTGCTACTACAACACCAAAATAAAATCGACAAAACGAATTTCGAAACTCGTGCCAATGTTTTGGATAGCTGTCCGTTACTTCCCGCTAGCCATGTTGGAGTAGCGAGTCTTCTGTAAAATTGTTATAATACATTGGAGATTTTGTTCGATATTCTAATGATGAGATGCGTCATTTTAGCGTTCCGAGGGCTGTGCGAATGAGCGTTTTATTTGGCAATGACCTCCGCGGTCATTGACACCGTACAGCAGCCGACTGTAAGTATGTGATCATTTTGAACTTTATAAGCTTTACTTTAAGGGTGTAATTACCTGTATATTTTTGATGCGATTATGTTGCAATACTAACCAATAAATATCTGGTTGCGTTCTGTTCGTATCAATAATATTGCATACAATTATGTGAACCATAAAGAGAGCCGAGTCTTAATTACGGCGACGAATATTAAATGACCCTTAGTTTAAGTTATGGTCCGTAATTATTTGTTAAGAAGGAAATTTTGCATATTTTATCGTGTCATTGACTCTACCCGCGTCACTGGAGTGTTGAAGGCTCTGACCAACTCATATTTTTATTAACATAAGGTTTTCATATTAACAATATCGTAGACATTTCCAAATCAATTTGAATTTTTGAAGGCGTCGTAGGGAAATTTACCCTCTAAAAGAAAGTATTTAATCTGCAGTAGTGTTCTATCTTGAGGGATCATTATCATTATTCCTACACACACACCACACACACAAGCAAATCGAGTCAGCGATCAATGTTACTGCATATAATATAATATCACTGCGTAAATGCACTATATAGATAATATTTGGACGGAACCCTGAACATAAGAATCCAAAACGCACTTTGTAGTATTTTTACAAATTCACGTGCGAAATTCCATGCGGCTACTACATATATCAAACACCCACACTACTGTTTTAGGCAAACACACAGATCTGTATAACAGTAGTTTAATATTTGTATAGATACGGTAGGATAACTATGTTCTCCTGACCTGGAGTGGAACTCCTGACCTAATAGGTTAAGATCAGAGTGAAAGTCTTCGTGCTTAGTGATGCATTGGAGGCTAAATAAATATTCAAAAGCTAGTAGAGTCTATAATTGTTTGGTTAAGAGCCAAAATAAGGAAATTTATTTAAGCCCCAACAAGTCTTTTAATTTTTTCTGCATCTATTATGATTGACATATTAACAACATTGGATTTGGATGCTTAACGTGATGAGCAGGATTATAGTATCCTTGTTAAATTTTCGGACTTGTACGCATTATTTTAAACCGCATCATCGCTTACCACCAGGCTAGATAGTGGTCAAACGTCGGCCCATCAAATATAAATAAAAATAAATGTGATGGTATCTCATTGTTACAGAATTTAAATTTATAGTTTTCATTCCATAATAGTTATATAGTTTTTTTTCCAAGAAGTAAAAAAGGCCATATATCTATTCTTGCTTCGGTTGGAACTTAAGAATCAGTCTTCTAATGGCATTTTTATCATTAAACTCCTTTGTTTATATTCTCCAATTCAAGAATCGAAACTCCTGATGACATAGTCTGGCTTATGTATCCGAATCCTTGAAACATTCACATCAATGATCAGTTTCCTCGAAGCAAAACTCAGCAATGATATTTGCCGTCTCAGAAGTGTTAGGCGTTATAAGGTAAATGCCATTTTTGAACAGTATTGACTACACGGTTGGTGCGGTGGCTGGGCAACTGGCTGCCGCGCAACGTGTCGTGGGTTCGATTCCCGCACGGAACAATTCTTTGTGTGAACCCAGAATCTGTGAAAGATTGCTGTTCCGGTTCTGGGTGTCATGTATATGTGAACTAGTATGTTTGTAAATGCACCCACGACACAGGAGGAAATCCGAGTGTGGGGCAACGTTTAAAAAAAAAGTATACGCTGACCTCTTTTGATGATGAGAAAAAAGTTTTAAAAAGGACTAACTTTTTGTGGAGCAAAACCTGGGAGTACAATTTTATCTCATTAAAACCACTCCGGTGGCACGATGCAACGCCGCTGATCAAGCTGTACATCATATTTTTATTTTGTTTTACAACAATATTGGGTTGACTGCAAATAACTAAGCATAAAAGTGAACGGAAGAAGCTCAAACCCATTTTTTTCATCAGTTATATTATGATACCCATGTAATAAGCGCTCAGCTACTCTACTCTACTAAACGAACTCCCTAGTCTCGGCATTAGAGGGGCTGCTTACTACATTTTATGTGACTACCTCTCTAACCGTCGACAAAGCGTTACAATAGTGGTCACACTAGTGCTGAGATTCCTATAGAATACGGCGTTCCTCAGGGAGCATGCATCAGACCAACCCTTTTTCTTCTCTATATTAACCAACTATGTAATATTTCTTTACCTCAGTACAAAATTTTTACTTATGCGGACGATACCGCCATAGTGGTGCATGGGTCGGATTGGTCAGATATCAAATCTAAAGCAGAACAAAACCTTACGATAACCAGGTACTGGTTATCGTCAGGTTTTGTTCCAAAACCTGACACTAATTTGTAGCCGTTATCTCAGAATCTTCTAACACTCAATCAGTCTAAAACCTACCTCATTCCCTTTTCCATTCGTAACAGCACACAACCACCGTCTGATTATAAAGTATTTATCCATTCTTGTCATAATCCTAATGATAAATGCTGCTGCTCTCCCATTACACAAAAACATTTCATTAAATATCTTGGAGTTTACATTGACCAAAACCTAAATTGGTTTCCCCAAATAGAGGCTCTCACTACTAGAGTAAGGCATCTTTTTAAAACCCTTAGATAATCAGCCGATCCTGAGACCCTAAACTTGGTCTACTCCTCTCTTTGTCAATCTGTTTTGTATTACTGTGTGACAGCATGGGGATGCGCGGCAAAGACCAGATTGATCAAGGTCGAAAGAGCGCTAAGAGCTCAAAGTTGTACACTACAACGCTCCTCAGGTATCCTACTTTCGAACTTTACTCTTTGGCTTCTGTTCTCACAGTAAGGCAACTCTTTGTGCTCAAAGCCACCCTACGCATACATACTGAGGTGCCACCGCCTGATGCTTTCAAACGAAAACCCCATAGGGCCTGTGCTGTCCCCGACATAAAACTGTTTTTGCCTCTCGACAACTTTATGTCTCTAGCTCCATTATTTATAACAAAATAAATAAAATCTTAGATATTACCAAATTAAATAAACATGAGGTTAAAAAAAGACTCACTACATGGCTTCTAAAACAGAATTACGAAGACTCTGAGAAATTATTACCCAACGATAAGTAACACACCACACTAACACACGACACACAACTTATTCATAACACCCATAACACTCACTCACTCATTTTAAATCTATTATTGCTTGTAATGTCATAAATAAAATGTCATGTATGTATATGGTTGCATGCTCTTTTTGCTTCTAGTTTTTACTTATGGTCTACTAGCCTTACGTAGGCTTTTGTTTTTCTTAAGTTAAAAATACGGCCGAACACTGACTTCCAACATACAGGTCTGCCTAGTTTGGAAATCAGGGTTTAATAATTAATTTGCACTACCACTTCTGTACCTTAGTTTTACACAAAGTAATGTACAAATCCATTGGTGTTCAATTAAGAATGTATTAATAAAGAATTTATTATTATAGCTTACCGCTATGTACCAGACACAATTCTAAATTTCATGTTATTTCTGAGAAAATTTCGTAAAACCGAAAAGTCATCCACATCAGCAGTCAATGATAGTCCACAGCTGAACTACGAGCCCCTGAATTTAATAGTAAATTCAATAATTTCCATATAATTTCACTTTCCGTTCTTTTAAACAGAAAATAATTTTCTGTTGGAGATCATAGTTCAAAGTTCAGTTATACATTTATTCGATTCTGACTTCAGTCTTCATCAGACTGCCTATCACCAAAAAAGACCAAGCGACACTTGGTTTGACCCAGGAATGGAACTCGAACTCTTGCTAAGCAGTTACACCGTTTTACTAACGACAGGGATAGACACAAGTAATAATTCGAGGTACTTTATTGGTTCAAAATTCGTACAAAATTAAACTTACAATAGGTTATTAAATAAGTGAAGTAATTAAGACCTTGATGTTATTTTTTTCACCTACTTCTCTTTGTTCACATGGACAAACTTATCTACACATATACCTTTAAACCTAAGATTCATATTTGTATACATTTTTATTTGTCTTTTCTTGAAATATGGTACCTATCTACTTAATAAGTTATGATAAATATTATTTTTTGGAAGTACACTAACACTTTTTTCAATAAATACAAGTCTAAATAATGTAATTTCCTCCAAATATTTGGTCATAAATTACTTAAAATACACTACAGTAGAATTATATGGCTAATGTTATATGTTTAATACCGCGCTATCTATCCTCAGAAAATCACAACTTAGTTTAATCGAAACTAATATAGATGGCAGTATCACTATTCTAAATCGCAGTACTTAATAAATGCATTATATTTTATACATTAGAGTATTGGGAACTATTGCTTTACGTTCTAGTCGGAACAGTAACATCCATCCTGCGTGTTTTCACGTATCCAGTCGAGGTAATTAGTGACACGAGTGTATACACCTGGATAACCAACTCTTGCGCAGCCGTTGCCCCACGAGACGACACCTGGAATAATGACATTATTTTATTAGAAATGTTAGTCCTGTGTTAATAACAAAATAAACAAAACATTAACATCGCTTGTGATTTTTAAATGTCAATGACTTGTGAATGAAGTGTATTTTTGTTACGATTGATATTCATCGCTAGTACAAAAATTAGATTTCAGAAATATTCTGAGTTCTATTTAAACAATCTTTGACAGTAAATATACGGTTCCTCCCGATACACAGTTAGATAGTGTCGCTGGAGGTATTTACACAGCCTATTTCTTCACACCCAAATTACATCATGGCATTGTCTCTACAGCTAGGCTGACCCAACGGGACTAAACATTTAGTGGGCATACATTAGAATATATCTATATTCATTACCGATCAGTTCGTAGCGTTTGTCGTACTTTCTCTCAGCGATTAGTGGCCCACCGCTGTCACCCTGAAAGATAAAGATATAGTTACATAATATATCAAAATTAACAACTTTGAACTATTATACTATTAAATGGAATAATAATAAATCAAGAATAGTGATACTTCAAACGACGCTGATTACAATTTGTTGGAGATAGTATATAAAGAGCTAAAATTATTCACGAGGAAAACATTACAATTAAAAAAGTCCAAGTAAAGTACATATTTTCGGTAATTTCCTTAGAAATTTTCTACTGATGAAGCAAATTAGTCATAGTTCAAGTGAGTGAACAAAGAACATTTTTTGCTATGCATTTGAGTAGAAAGCATCGATTTGAAAGTTGTTGGAAATAGTCGTATTAGCAAAACAAATGAAGATATTCATGATACTGTCCATAAAAACAACTTTAAAATAAGAATAAACTTTTTGTACAATTTATGCTTTTGTTTACGTTGTGAGCAAATAATTCGAAACTCGAATTGTTTATTAAAAAGCATGCCTATACCCAAGCGTACTGAAAATTGATATAATAATTATGGACTAATGATTTATCACCTCACCACCAATGGTATTAGGTTGACCTATTCGTAGTGCAGTTTTCTCACCTGACAAGAATCTTTCTGTCCGGTTTTTGGATATCCAGCGCACAACATGTTATCAGTGATCATAGACGCGGTGTACTTGGTGTTACGACAATCCTGGTTGCTGATGACAGGTACTTCCACTTCCTGAAGCGTACAGGACACCTTGCCCTCCTCTGTGAGGGTGCCCCAACCTGATGCTACGGCCTTTACTCCAACGTACAAGTTCTCTGTTAAGTGAAAGTTATCACACAAATGACACAATTCCTTGGAAATTGAGAGGAATACCTGAGACTCGTCAGAAGTCAACTCAAAAAAAATATCTTCATCATCATCAACCTAGACATCCATAGTTCAATAAAAGCGTCTTCCTTAAAAGGAGTAGTAGATAGGTAGGATTGCTGTAATCTCCATGCAGGTATGTCCCATATTTTGTGTACCTGCCAAACCGCTATTTGGGCATTTTAAATAATTCACTAAGTGTAGAAAAGACTGCTGCTCATCGCTTAATAGTTGACGTAACCTCATACAAAATTACGTGTTAATTGTTCAAAATAACTTACTGTCATTAGTTGGCAAGCAGATAGGCTTGATGGTTTCTGAGATGGGGACTCTCTCGTTCAATCGTAGCAAGGCTATATCGTTGTCAAAGTTGGTGAGAGTGAACTTGTTGGCGATGGCGCGGAGCACGAAGCGGGTCTCAGGACGAGTTGTGGCGTTGCAACGATTGTGTTCACCAAAGGTCACTTTGATCATGAACCACATAAATCTGGAACATTAAGAGGACAGATTAAAATAAAACCCTCAATGTAGCATGCAGCATAAGATTCAAGATGAGAAAATTTTATTTATTTTACAGGCCAATCCCAATGATCCGTAGTGGCTCTCCTAAACACAAGAATTTTATTAGTGACTTTACAAGGTGTTTTGGAAATGGTCGGTTGGAATTTAGAATCGTGAAATAATATTGTTGCTCTTTGTTACATTGCACGATAAAATGTACTTTTTAAATAAGAAGAACTATCTTAATACGAATATAAATTGTTGAGATGCAAATCCTAAAAGTCTAAATTATAATAGAGCTCACTCAGTTCGAATCAAAAATGCGCAGTAGATTGCTATTTTGCACCACGTGGGTCATTACACTCTTATTATGATTCCAGTTATAGATAAATGTGACCTAGAATTTAAAACAAGTTTTGTCAAAATTCTAAAAAATAGATCAACTTTAGATAGCCATCGGCTCAAAAACAAATTAATAAATCAGCCACAAATTGGAATCTTAAGCTTTAATATCCAAAACAAGGATGACACATTGTAACTGGATGTTAAATATTTATGGATGATTCACTAAGTGCAATTTATGTATGTATCAATATGCCGATCTTTTTTTCAACACACCGTTGACCACAAAATGTTAAGTGGGGAAAGGCCAGTTTTGGACAGAATAAAAAACATCTAAATGTTTACATGGAGGATAACATAACTGTGATAATTATCACACCACTTGTTCAACTAGATATCCTCATAGGTCTACTCGTAATAACTGCTGGATGTTTAGCTATAAAAAACTGATAAAGCAAAAGCTGATATTTATTTAAAGGCTTTGGGGTGAATTGATAAAGCCTATTGCCACATACCAATCTATTCTGAATTTTGATTGGGTAAAAAAATCCAAGTGTACTTCATTATGGTAACTTCGTATTTCGTAGGTATGCAGTGTACACATTAACGAAGCCCTCAACTCTATTTTACTTACGTAATTTGTAAGTACCTAAACAATGTCAACACTATTCACTTTGACGCACTCAAAATCCTCTTCAATCGCTCCTTAACTTTCCAATCGGTTGGAAATCTTTACTTCTTGTATAATAAAACAGTAACTTCTATTACCGTGTCGGAATTAATTCAGTCGACAGTCAGTGAACATTTATTATGTAATTTGTTGCTTATTTCCGATTGTTCTTCGCGACTACTCGAGCCAAGTTTGTGTCGACATTGAGCGAAAGTGACACTTGTGTTTTGGCGGGCCACGGTCATGAATACTATTAATGTCCCTCATTTACGCTTTCACTTACGTACATTAGTCCCCGCTACTGTCAAACAATACATTCACGAGGTGAGACGTGCAATGGGACACCTTTTGAACTCCTCGGTACTACGCACTTACAGTCATCTTCTCGGAAATATGTTCCGTACCTGAGATTAAGCTGTCGACCTAAACAAAAAGTCATCACAAAGTGCCTAAAATGGTCATTTATCGAGGATAATGAACTTTAAGTTTGGAGCCTGCTCCTGGGCCGGTTTCAAGGTGAACGTACTTATCGATACTGATTGGTATTCACAATTTTGTACCATGAATTTATTTTGGAGTTGTTTGCCAATTCTTAGGTTATCGGACCCGTAGACCGATGACTAATACCTGCAGTTTGATACGATTTGGTCATAAAACCAAAATAATGGGAGCAATCAAAGTTTGTGACTAATTTTATTGATATTGACCACATAAAAATAACGATCGGAAAAATGTAAACCAGATAGGTATAATCCGCCGTGTAGATATGTCTAATGTCGTTGTTTCTGATAGCATTGATCGTCGTTATTTAGCTATTAACCTAGTTTTGTTCAGGTGTGTAGCCGTTTAAATAATTATTTGTTGGTTTAAAACCAAATATTTTTACGTCACTCTTCTATTAGCCTTAATTACAGGACGCTACAGATAACATTAAAAACACAAAATACAGAAGGCAAACTGAGGTAAAATATTTGATAATTTTCTACGAATCTATGAAGTATGAGATAGGTGCAGGTTGTGTTCCGAGTAAATACCCTGACAAGTGCTTTATTGAACAAACACTTGACGGAAACGTGTTCACGCCTCTGTAGGTACCATGTAAAGACACGCAGCAGATAAAAATTATTTACATTTAAATAAACAGTTAAGGTATATAATAAAGGAGATTTATAGAAAAATTCACAATATCATAGACAATCTGAATAAAAATTCCATTTAGATAGATTTCCTTTTTTAGATATGAATATTTTAAGAGTTTACGGATTTAGTGCCTATGTGCTAAAATCTATTAAAGCGTAAATACAGTTAGTTTTAAACAAAAGATGAACTGACATTCTGCAAAAAAATATATAAAAGTTAAATTTTTGTACCTCTATATAAAGCTGTAGTAATTTCCAAAAGAAGAAGCGAGGGACCTAGCTGCATTTTCACTGCTTTTGCATTTAATTTTGTTGATCTAGAATCTGATCTGCTATGGGAAACGCACCTGAGGACTACTTGACTTGCTACCTTAAAAGGTTAAACCTTAGAAAACAGTGCACGATATTTTAAAGTACCAGCACGTAGACACTCATCCTACAAAGATATTGACCTAATATCTACGCAAGTGCTCTACCACTGCTGACGTTATGAGCATCACTCTATGAGCAAAAGACTGTAAAATCTTCATTTCAGGAGTAAGATATGATCATACCCATAAAATCATACCAGTCACAAAATGTTCACTGTTGAACATGGTCTTCCCCCAATGACTTCCAGAATCCAGGTCAGCTGGTTGGAATGTCCTTAATAGTAGTTTTAAGTGTGGGAGAGCCTTCGGCACGAATGGGCCAGCTCGACCAGAGTAATACCACGGCCTCACAGAAAACCGACGTGAAGCAACACTTGCGTTGTGTTTCGTCGTGTGAGTGAGGTTACCGGAGGCCCAATTACCCGCCCCTTCCCCAATCTACCCAATCCCTGAATTCTGAAAAATAGATTCATTAAACAATATTTTCTCACCCTTTAACACAATGAGCAGCAGTTAAGACGTATCTGTCATTGATGAGCATGCCTCCGCAGTAGAACCGCTTGAAGTAAGACAGGCGAGCCATCCAGGGGAACTCGTTAATACCAGCTTCATCACCACCCACGATACGAGAGACTTCGTTCCTTTCACCGCATTCTGAAAGCGTTTGGACATCAAGTTACAATGAGGAGGAAAGTACCTAAGTACATCATTTTGGGAGATATTTTGTTACTGCCGCCCAAATGGGAGCAAATTTGATTTCACATACCATGTACAAAAGAGGTTTAAAAATGGGATAATGGCAGACATCAAAATTATTCACCAAAAACTCAAAGTATTATACACGCCCGTTACAATACATTGAGGTACCTCCATAAATAAGTACCTACCTAATTTGAAGTTACTATTAATTTGACATAACATACAGTAGTCATAATACTCCTAAATCACTACCAAACCGTGATTTTCTAATCATATGATAAATGACTTTAAGTACTTGTTAAACACAAGGGGAAGGCAACACAGGAAGGTAAGGTATTAATCAAACTAAATGTGTACGATTTATTGGTATGAAGTTTTTTGTAATCTTATTAACTACTTATACTGACAAACACTTTCGTTAATAGATAACTTGACATAAAGTCCAGGCTTAACAAAATACTTTCATTTATTTTTAAATGTTGAGAAACAAATCGGCGTGTAAAGTATTTATATCAGTTTGTTATGGCCTTATGTAATGTTTTATATTTAAATGCTATCACACAATTATGGGAGAGCCATGCTTCGGCACGAATGGGCCGGCTCGGCCGGAGTGATACGACGGCCTCATGGAAAACCGACGTGAAACAATGCTTGCGTTGTGTGTCGTCGCGTGATTGAGGTTACCGGAGGCCCAATTACTCCTCCCCCTTTCCCAATCCCTGAGTCCCCCAACAATCCTCAAACAATCCTAATCCCAAAAGGCCAGTAACGCCTACTGGTGTTCCAGGTGTCCATAGGCGGCGCCGATTGCTTACCACCAAGTGATCCATCGGCTCGTTTACCGGCTTATCCCATAAAAAAATTGTACTGTTTTATGATTGTTAAACTAAAATGGGAATAAGCACCATGCACGCATCCTTAGCAAAAAAAGAATAGAAAATTCGCTCACGATTGCAGCTGGAAAATACTGTTTATCTACAGTTAATTTATCCACAAGTAGATATTAAAACCTTTCGTCATCATCATCATCATCATCATAACATCGTCATTAATTCGATGATAAACATACCTCCTTTAACGACTTCCTTGACACCTTAAGTTAGTTAAAATATATGAGACCGTCAAGCGTTTAACTTAGTAAATGCATACTAACTGCAAGAGCACGTGGTCCTCGGCTGGTTGGCTTCTACCAGCGGCGGCCGGTTGCCCCAAAACCCGCCGAAGATGTTCTTTGTGTACTCCCCTCTTGCATCCTTAACAAAGTTTCCCTGAGATAAATGACAATAAGATAAATAAATACAGAAGCAAGACGTTAAATATGCTGCAACAAAGGAATCAAATATTTATTGTAGCACCCACTTTGCACTAATTCGGTTTTGACTGCCTTTTAATATAGATAATATGTATCATCGCGCTTTTTATCCTCGAAGTGGTAGAGGTGGCAGAGGTGCACATTACGGCACTTAATGCCACTGTACATCGTAACAACCACTTTCCACTATGCCATGCAGATAATAGGGGTAGATATATATATATATATATATATATAGGGGGGGGGGGCAATATTTTGATTTTGACTTGTAAAAATTTAAGTTTATTGATATACATACCACAATACTGTCATCAGAAATGCATAGAAAAGGCATAACTCATAACGTCTTTTTGTGTCTACTTACGAATCAAAATATAATAAAGGAACACGATCATGAAATCCTAAAGCCCTTAGAAGAAAATTATACAATTGATTTAAATGTGTACTAACTAACTAAATATAAACAAGTGTTAAAAATTATAGTCAATTAAAAAAGTACTTTATTCGAAAGACCAGGCAAGTCGGTTTAACCCGAGCATATTACCTGCCACTATTGTCATGGACAGGCAATCCCTTGTGTTTATTTACTTACATATTTAGTGAACCAAACGATGTTTTTCTCACTCGACATCGGAAATATTTGAATAAGAATCACAAAACATTGTTTGTGTTGAGACGTAACCGACCAACGAAAAACTTTCAGTTCCGCAACAATTTCGCTTTTTACCGCATACTTTCCCTTTGTATTTGTTGCATTTAGCTACTAACCTTAGATTTTCAGGATTATGACAATATCAGAACAACCTTTTGAAATTATTTTAACAAATAAGCGAGAATCGTTGCTGATGCACTAAAATTTCTTTTCTATTTTACTGAGACCATTATCAAAAACCAGCGCAACATGCGTTCTAATATGACATATTTAATTTACAGTTGTATATAAACAAATCGCAACAGGTTTACCAATTATATATTGATGTCACGTCTACAGTGCCAAAACCTTGCTCTTCTAGTCAACAGATAAAATAAAAACGAAGAAAGCACGTGAATTCTTATTTTATTAATTTTGCCACAAAGTAGAATAACAAGATTCTGCCACGGCATATTTTTACCACTAATTTGGTTGTCGTCAGATAATATCGAAAGGTGTTAAGGCAGGACATTTATGACCAAGGTCCAAATGCAAACGAAAGTAAAAAAAATGCTACCAACCTCTGAGCAAGTGAAAGTCAAAGCCACAAGCACTAAAATAAATAAACACTTCCACATTGTGTTACTGGTTTTAAAAAATAAACATAAAAAAGTAAAGAAGTAAAAAATTCCAAATTCGAATTCAGATTTTGGCGCTCGGCTGGCGCATGGTATTTGGTAGGTGAACTTGTCGCGCGCGCTCACTACGGACACACACTGAGATGCGCTCCGTCCTCACCCGTGGTCAAACATCGGACGTGTTTTGGATACGTCAATTCGTACCCCACTAGTCCAATAGCTATATGTATTCTTATTTCACTCGCCAGGAAACAAATCAGGTGCAAAATGTCAAAGCGGCAATATAAAATTACCGCGGGTTGATCTGTTTTGTTCCTTGGATAGGAACTTGATTGAGTTACGTGGGAAAGTTACACATGCACAGGTACCCTGTAGTTTGTACTAATATGATTTTTTAAGAGTTATGCTCTAGTCTAGGCTATCGGGTCGAGCACCTCCTAATTGCTTCGTCACGAATCTGTCGGATTAATCTCATTACATGCGCTCGGATAAATGGAAATTCTAATTACATGTTCCGTTTAAATCTCTCTGATTGACACGATATTTAACGGGCACATTCAAATACATTGTCATTTATAAATGACAGGGTTTTTGCTCCAAGTGAGCAGTATGTCAATACAATAATTCGCTTTAAGCTCTTAAATCAGACCACACAATTAAGTAAACGAATCACACAAAGAGATCTTTAAGGACCTTTATATTTTTATTGAATAAAAAGCGATTCATTTTCTTCGTACGTGAAACACCTATTTATTCATTAGAAGGCACGTTGCTTTGGCCAGTAAACAAAAATGCAGATCAGAAACAGCTTAGTAGGTAAGTAAATCAATCAAGTAAACAAACTTGTCTAGTCTGATTGAAAAGTAGCATTTAATGAACATATAATATTCTACTCTTGAAACCGCCTAGATGGCTGACAAATTACCAATTCAGACTAGTAACGGTACCAATATTTATTACTGGAACGACTTTTTGCATTAAAACGATTTAGGCAAGAGAGACAATTTAATTTGATTGGCGCCATATTAAAATACCTATGTAGGTGGCTATAAATAATAACTCGTTCACGACTTAAAATAAAACCTATAAAAATAAGGCTGTTGGAAGTTATTTATTTTTCATGACACAAATATTTTTGTTTTCCTGTATGTTCTGGAATGAATCTGTGGTGTTAATTAGGTCAGTGATCTGCTTGTGTTAATTTTATTTCAGCTGAGAAACCTCCATTCGTGAACAAAGGCCTTCCTATGGGACACATTTCAGTGATCATGATTACATAATGATAATCCTCAGATTTGGTCTTTGAAGAATGCTGCGTCGGCCTCTTGATGAATTTGTAGTTGTAGTCCAATCTATTTTTTATTGTTTTTCATTGATCAGCGCCACCTATATGCATCTGCAATATCAACATTGCTTGCTCGTCTTTCGAAAAGGCAGGCTGTCTTCTTGTCGGTCGTCAGTGCAGATATTAGCTATCTAGAATATAAGTCATATACTAGACTATAAAACAGTTAGGTGTTAGATATCTGAGTCAAGCAAAATATCTAGGTGTTAAAGTTTTCGAATACTCTGTAAAAGCATGGAGTTTAGGATTGCCGAATGTATAGACTTGCAAAGAATATGAGGCTCATAGCATAACTGACGGAAAATCGGTGTCATACATAATTTAGTATGTGATTTTTCAGAAAAAATATACTCGTTATCAATAATCACAAAAAGGTTTTAATGTGAGATAAAAAGATGGAGTGCGGAATCGTTTCGGCGGCAACCGGTCGGTCGGTCGGTGGCGGCGAAAGTGTCACTTTCCATCCACGTCACAATGGCTCGCTGGCTTTTTACACATTCACTAACACTTTGTACATCTAACGAGCTTTAATTATGTCAATGAATGATATTTTAGTTCATTTTATCTGTAAATGTGGATGCAAACTATAGAAATAAGGGAAGAGTCGAGTTGAGAATAAATAGGACATACCAGTGTCTAATACACTTGATATTATGTGAGACATAAGCTGTAAATCCATCCACTATTTAGGTAGCTGTATGAGTTTGGTTTATGGACAAACAAACAATGAAAATATGTAAAAAGTTTATAGCAATAATTTGCTTAATGTTAACAACCTGAAGGGTTAAACCCAAATTGTATTTATGTTCTGTGAAATTGAAACTCTGCTTACGCACATCATAATTATGTTTCATTGGACATAAATCCCAAAATAAATATCACGACTTTGTAATAAAATATTGGACCCAGCACTCAAAGGTTGATAAAAATAAAGTCATAAAATATCCTTTTTCAAACTGTTTAATGTATAAGAGCACCTCTAGATATAACAATTAAAGAATTCAAATCTTTGAACATAATAAAACAAACACACAAACAAAGTTAATAAAATTAATAAAGATACTAAAGATTATGAAATAATTTGTATTTTAAATGTAAATAAATTAATATAAAAATTATCTTATAAAACAAAGATTTATTAAATGAATCTAGATTAATAAATAACTACGGTTATTATGATAACAATTTTATCGTGATAGGGATCACAGTTGTAGCCTAAAGAGCATCGATACTTAAGAGCTAACTTAATTCTAGGACATGTTCCCTCTTACACCCAAATGACGTGATGTTTGTTTATTTTTTTTTATTATCTATGGTTTTAGGGACTATCGTTCAGGGACATGTCAGCCCTTTGTTTGTTTTTTTTATATTGAAGTTAATAACTTACTTGTTTCTGATTGACAACAGCATGATAATTTACAGTATACGCCTCGGAAATTTAAAGCAAACCGATAAAAATGATACAATTGATATATTATTGACAAAAAAGATCATTTGTGAGCAAAAGAAGGAAAGCTTTTAAACAATTTGTTCGCAAAACCATTCCAAAACCTTAGCTGATAATTGGCACCTCGCCAGAAGGGAATGTAAGAGGTAACAGGTAACACTGTCGATACATACCTACCTAAGTATTTTTTTTTAAGAAAAACATGCGTCTCCATCAATTTTATCCTTTCACTGCGCATTCAAATTTGAATCACGAAGTCACGATTCGACATTCATTTGGGTATAAAAAGCACATGCGAAAGTCCAAAGCTAAATTATTGATAAGTGCAAAAAAAGAAAAATTTGATAAAAAAAATCTTAGTTGGTGCAAATCCGAACACTGAAACGTCACTCAATTTAGAATGATGATATCATGCTGCATGGCCATTTGAAAGTGTTAGAAACTATGTTAAGCACGTTTTTAGATTGAGTGCTATTTGAGTATTTCGGCCAGTATGCATTCTAATTTTCACAGAAAACGAGAGAAATTGTCATAAACTCAACAAAGTGAAGTTACGACGAAAACTGTAGAAAATTATTTGTAAATAATGACTTTTCCTCGAAGTATATTTTAGTAGATGCCGGGTACTATGATTTAAGATACCTGCATTTATCATACAGATAAAGCTTATTTAAAATGGAATTAAATTTGATTCTCCTATTTGCCAATATATCAATATAGCAGCGAATAAAGCAGCAGTGAAAATACTTAATACTAGAAAGAATAACAAATAATTTACTATTATGTACAAAATAGCGTAATGAACACTTATTAGGCATCAAGTAAAACATCTTAAATTCTAATGGTAATCTGCACCACCGGCCTGTCCGAAGTAATTTAACTTACAATTAGATAAACAAGTACATAAAGTAATTAAACACAAAACTTAATTGTCATGACTTTGTCACTTTAGATAGTATTTCAAAATCACCACGTGTGACGCAATGCTTTGAAATACCTTTCTACTTACTAATGTTAGTTAGTAATTTAAAAAAGAAACTAATATTAAGACATTAGACTCGTTAGAGTAGCACAAAAAATACGTAAAGATACAAATTATAAAATAGTTATAAGCAACAAAGAACACTGAGTCGCCTTACGCACTAGCGGTTGACCGCCTAGGCGGTTCGTATCAACAGACGCGGTTACCATAGCGATTGCATATTAAATTGGAAAAGCGGACAACCGCAGGGAGCGCCTAGCCGCGCGGTTGACCGCGCAGTTGACCGCTAGTGCGTAAGGGGGCTAAATTATTTTTTATATAATACATAATATGTGCCAATAACACTGAATTATAATTAAGAATTAGCTTTAACTGGCCTACATATATCAACTATTAAAGTTATTGCCATCGACAAATTACGTAATGTTTTACAGGCATGAAAATTAATTGAAAAAAATCTATTTTATTTCGTACTCTACCTACTTCATTTACTTTGATCAATATAATGAAAATGAATAAATAAAATGTAAACTGGCGTTAATTCTGACGTATTACATACTTAATAAAGAATAATGATGACTGCTAAATTATCTTGTTCTTTAAAAAGGACTATGAAAGTGAAACATTAATGTTAGACGATTTTTTAAAGGATGCAAGTGGTATCTAACCATTCGATCTGGAGTCTTTATGAACGACATATGGCTCATGATGATGATGATGACTTTTCTTCATAAAAGGTGTTCCAAGGAGTTTTCAATGAACCAGAATTATCACCAGTTTCTTAAACTTTCTTCAACGACTACGGTAGTGCCATCACTACGTTGCAAATCTAAACTACGAGTATTGTTTCAGATTTTGGCTCTAGTTACAACTACTTGATACATAAGTGAAATGTTTGGTAATCGTTACATTTGAACATATTTTTAAATTGGCACTTAAATCATTATGTATCCGATCTTTTATCCTAGAAAATTAATCTAATTATTATTATTACGACTTACGCTACAGTTTCCATTACCTACGAATTTATGAGTAAGATTCCGAATTCTTTGTTCGTAGCTTTTTCCGTTCAATGTACAAAAGTATACCTCCTATCTTATATCATCTACTATAGCGTAATATTCTAACGTACGCTACTTATCTACAAGATCGTCATTATTATGCATCTATTCTTGATTACTTCTTACAATAGACACCACCTCTAAGTACCCACTACCCACTCAATAAATTAAAAAATAAATCTACGTTTATCTGCATTTATTTACAAAGTAATTTATATGGACGTCACTCAGAAGTGGGTATGAACTTGTTTCGAAATAATATCACCCTGAATTAGTTGCCACATAGACACGTGTCTCTTAAATTAGCTCTAAGCCATGGGAGGTATCTTGTGATCCTTGTGTAGACACCTGGGTAGCCTGGTCTTCCGCAACCCACACCCCAAGACACAATACCTGGAAAAAAGAAGGATAACTATGTAAAAGAAAATCGTAACCATCACAGTCTCTTTTAGCACAGAAGCGACATCTAGGTTGCTTGTGACGTCTTATCGCATTAGTAACCACACCAACATAAGAGTGTTTAAGTTATCCAAGAGATGTCACTAGTCTAATACTGGTTTGATAAAATGTAATGTGTTGTAGGTAAATAGTGGACTCACCAACGATTTGGTATTTATCACCCTGTTGCAACAGAAGAGGACCACCACTGTCTCCTTGACAAGAATCAGTAGATGCTCGACCAGCGCATAACTGTAAATGGTAATACATAATGTTGTTATTTAATTTATACCCAGTTTCACTCATGCCATCATAGTTGGTCATAGATATTGACTTATTCATGGCGAGGCTACGAAGTCATATTTTATTTTCTAATAAAATTTACGCTGTAAATTTCACTTGTATAAATTATAATTCATATTTTAGCATCTAGCACCATATCTAACTTAATCTCTACTTAACGAATTGACGGTTTTGTTTATATCTTACGCAAAATCCTCATATTTTTTTCAAACAAAAGTGGTCTAGGCATCGGAAATAACGTCTATAATGGAGTGGGAGGGAAGCGGCCACCGGTGGCCGCTTAGAGGCATAATCGGCCAGAACTATTTAATCACTTAAACCTTAGCAACTAAATACTACTGACCATGTTACTAGTAATTCTCGAAGCTCTGTACTTCATTCCTCGGCACTGGTTGAGTGATAGAATGGGCACTCTCACTTCCTGCACTATAGCAGGCAGCTGCCCTCCCTCAGATGTCCGACCCCAGCCAACTACGACCCCCTCTTTGCCAGATGGGTCTATACCTGAAACATAAGTTCTGTCGTAAGTAATCGTAATAAATAAATATGAACTGAAATTGTTAATATTTAGGTATTAGCTAATTCCCAAAAAGGCCGGTAACGCACTTGTAACGCCTTGGTGTTTCGAGTGTCCATGGGCGACGACGATTGCTTATTATTACCATCAGGTGATCCGTCTGCTCAAAACAATGTTAGAAAACTTTCAATTTGTTTAAGGTTTTGAAGGATGTTAGGGTCAAGCTTTTAAATTATGAGACTATATAGTCTCAGTTAAATAATATTATTTAACTGACAAAATTAGAATACTGTCAACAGTCATGAGATTTAAAACACCAGTGGCGCCCTCTAGGAAGAGCAAAATCATTTACGTCCTCTTTTAGATCTCGTAGTATAAAAATTAAAGAGGTCAATAAACTCACCAGAAGGCGGTAAACAAACAGGTTTGATGATTCTAGAAAAGTTGACAGGTTTGCGCAGCTTGAGGAGAGCGATGTCGTTGTTGTATGAATCTGGATCGAAGCTGCGATGACGTACGATTGCCGTGACGGCACGCATGATGGCCGCACTCTCTGTGGTGATGGTTTGGTCGTGGTCGCCCAGGATAACGCGGATTTTGGACCGCTTTAATCTGGAAAATGGAAATGAAAAGTATTGATAACTATTTTGAATTAATTATTACATCAATTCAATAGTACCATGGGGACTCATAGCTTATAAAAACAGGTCTGCAACTTTTCAGTTAGTCTAAGAAGTATGTGAATAAGTAAAAATAGACAGAATATAGAAGAAAGAAAGAAATAATAGAATAGAATAGAATAGAAGAATAGAAATAGAACATACACGTATATTTAATTTTTTTATGGCATAAGCCGGTAAACGAGCAGACGGATCACCTAATGGTAAGCAATCGGCGTCGCCCATGGATAACTGGAACACCAGAGGCGTTACAAGTGCGTTACCGGCTTTTTGGGGATTAGGAGTTTGAGGATCGTTGGGGATTCAGGGATTGAGGAGATTAGGGAAGGGGAGGGTAATTGGGCTTCCGGTAACCTCACTCACACGACGAAACACAAAGCAAGCGTTGCTTCACGTCGGTTTTCTGTGAGGCCGTGGTATCACTCCGGTCGAGCCGGCCCATTCGTGTCGAAGCATGGCTCTCCCACACTTAATTATCTGTTAAACCTGGGTAGTAAAATACCTAGATGTATGGTTGTTGTATAACTAACTTTCAGTTTCATCCTACTGTTATTGGCATCGCAGATTATATCACAGTTTCCATTTGTAGTTAATTAGAATGACCGTTGAATAGAACATGCATATAAATCACTAAGTATAACTAAACTGTTCGATGCCTAATAAAAAAGATAAACTAACACGATTTTCTGCATTAGTAATTTGTCGTGTTTGTAAATTTATTAGTTAGCTATTTTTTCACATAATTCTGACATTTGTACAAGTGCGATATCCAGATAGAAAATCAATGCAATCGTATTAAAATGATGAATAAATGTTGTCTGCATGTATGAATAACTGTTTTTAAATGAACGCAAATAACAATGTTTGTAAATGTCTCGTAAATTAAGTTACTTCATTTGTACAAGAATTATTTATTGCGATAAATCAAACTGTCTGTGTTTAGGTAACTATTTTTACATTATATAAAATAGTCTCTCAGACTACTTTGTTGGCCGAGAGGTCGCGAGTGCGACTGCCGGGCAAGGGGTCCCGGGTTCGATTAACGGGTCGAGCAAAGTATTACTGGGTTTTTAAAAATTTCAATAGTAGCACGGAGTCTGGAAATGTGACCGGTATATGGCAAAAGGCTCACACCCTATTACATGGGGCTCATAACATAAATAGTGAGAAGTGGGTGTTACATTGTAAGTACAGTAGCATTAAGTGGCGTAATGTGCACCTCTGTCTACCCCTTCGGGGATAAAAAGGCGTGATGTTACGTTATGTATAAAATAATCAATTCTATTACATGTGTGTTTCCATCAATCTGTATGAATTATTGGATGTTCAGGCACGAATAATATGAGTAGATAACATCAACCGGAAAAAAACGATTCTGTTATTAGAATAGCAAATAGGCCTAATATGAATTATCGTAATGCAACATTGCGTGTGGTCATGTGTGCGCGCATGCGCTTGGGCAACCTTCCACATAGTAACAATACAGTTCCATTATATAACATGGACTAGTTACAAACGTGATTGCCAAGCACGAGGTCTCTATCTTCCGTGCCGACCTTAGTACCTTAATAAAGATGGGTACGTTATTTTAGTGGGTAGGTAATATAAGATAAAATAGCAACGCACATGTAACTAACAATTGGTTTAGTTGGTGAAATTTTTCTTCGTCTTATATGCTTATTTTCAACTTCTAATTTAATCCATTGCATTTTTTCATCGTTAATGATTATTCCTGCCAAATATCTTGAGTAAAGAATATTGTTAAAACCCTATGATCTCGACTCAAATTCAAATTCAAATTCAAATTCAATTTTTTTTATTGCATATCATGTGTACAATTGTTGGTGTTACATGAGGTACAGTTTCAACATGAAACCCGGCTAGGGCACAGCAACATATGGAGCAAAATATGATCTAACTAAACTACTATTAATAGTTATTATATTATAACATAAGAAATGTTGTTTTCGTACTAAACATTAAAGAAAGAAGATATTTCTTTATTTTATTATAATATGTATTTACATAAATTTCTTAATAATGGTGTTATTGTATGTAGTACATGTATTATTATATTTAATATGATTTTTATTGAGTAGGTAGGTATGCATTGAGTATTAAGTTTTGCTGCTAGCTTGGTCATCAAAAAACTCATTAAGGGTGTAGTAACATTTTTCAATGAGGAACCGTTTTAATTTATTTATAAATACGTTATATTTTTCTGCTTCTTTTATGTATTTCGGTACAGCGTTATATATTTTTATTGACTTTTCAACCTAGCAAAATTCATGAGAAAACAAGCTAATTTTCTTTGAAATTTAACGGTTAGGTTTCAACGACTGGGCACCTAATGATAACATAAATCCATCCATCGTCCATAATTCTCCTGTTATACAAAATTGTTCGTGATAATGAATTATATAAATCTACATTAAAAATACATTTTTATGCACACGCAATTGTTACACAAAACCAGTACCTAACGAGCATGCCATACTTAATGCACATTAGGTATACCTACGTTAAAATATGTAGTTCACGCAATATTCTAACCACTTACCTAATTAATCAATAATAGATACTTAAAAACATTGCGAAACACATTCTTTTGCTACGAAAACGATCGTAACTGACGTTAAAATGCTGGTTAGCGATGAAAAACTATATACCATATTACTCCTATGGCATATGACATAAATATAGGAAACAATTAGACACTGAATGAAAGGTACCTTACGTAAACGTTGACAGTAAATAGATAATCACATTTGATGCTATCTACACTACAGATGTTAATTTAGGAAAAATTACTCTTTTCGTTACACCATTTATGAAAAACTAATTCACATACCTACTTAAACAGTACTACTTAAGTACTTACTAACAAATTGTAATTTACAAACAAACTGTCATTTTCATTAAATATCGGTTGGAATTCTAAAAGGAAATGTTTGACTAAACGTTTCTTGTAAAAACCGAAAGTGAAAGAAACACATTGCTTGCTCTGCATTTGTATGAATAAACCTAAGATTCAATTTCCTACAACTCCTTGTGGTTGCAGATAAATTTCGTAAGTACAAAACACATTTTGTTCAGGACACTCAAGAAGGAAAGAAGGGGCCTGGAGAAACTCAAGAGATAGGCAATTATTTCAGTGGTTTCCTTGAAACTAAAGTTGGTCGTGTGAGAAAAGAACCTTAAAATCCATAAATATGCATAAGTTTATGAATTTTATTCACTTCAGCCAACCATCTTGAGGTAATAACAAGCACTAGAAAAGTAGAAACTGAAGTTCCCGTATAAACTACAATCTATAGAGTAAATCACTTACTTCCTGACACAATGCGCAGCTGTAAGCACATACTCCTTGGTCAGGAGCGAGGCTCCACAATGGAACTGGCCATCATAGACGATCCTCGCCATCCACGGGTAGCGGTTGGCGCCGGCCGGCATCCCGCCGACGATGCGATTCTCCTGGTTCGACCCGCCACACTCTAGAAAGTAAACAGAGTTTGTTGAACCTACGTCATTCACTAGTATCACAAGTACTTGCAGATTTCCTGCTCGTTCTCAACGTATGATTGTCGACTGATGGCTTGTTTTGTTTTTCAATAGCAGTGAATTTGTTTTTGTTTACATCGATCTAGTTGAACTGATTGCTCTCTTTTTGCAACACATTATTACGAGTGTCTGTTAAATCCAATTTGGTTTCATATTCTAAAATGTACATACTTAAATCTATGGTTACCTATTTACAAAAGATACAATAAATATGGTTACTTAAGTATTTATAATTAGCACCATGGTGCATATCAGTAAATAAAGTGTACATTATGTTACTTGTTATATTAAGACAAGCGACTGGTTAATGATCGTGCAATTAAGTTAATTGCAACAAGCAGTAGTTAACTATAAATTAACGACTTAGTATCTAGTGTCAAACCAGCTATAAACCTTACTAAAAAGAAAATGCTGCTAAGATTTCAAGAAGTGGATTTCTCAGTATTGCTTGAAAAGGACCTCAATAGTCATTTTAGATCAATAGTTTGTTTATTTCTTGAAATAATTAAAATTACATAGTAATTCCCTTCATAGTAATTACATAGAAGTTCCCTTCCAAGTTGAAATTGAGTTAAAATTATTACGATGTAAGTAACATCCTAACATCCCAATTACGTGAGAGCTAATGCTATCAGATGATAGATCCAGTAGGATCCTACTGGATCTAAAATAACTGTCCAACAAATAAATATTTTAAAGCAATTCTATTCCCGCCTGTACGTTGACAGGAACGGGAAATAGTAGTGTAAGTATAAATAACAAGTTATACAGCTGTTAATAGCAAATTGATCGCGATCCGGCGCGGGCGCAGCGCAGATCGAGTCTATTACACTTTCACTGTGATGAACGGCAGTTCAACGCTCAGACCTACCCACTACTTGTATACAACAGCTGTTTACGTGTAAACACTAACATGAAGGCCTCATGTTTTCTTAATGATCCTTATTTTATCTGTGGTCTGTACTCTGTGCATAGACAAATGGGGACTATTGGACTAATATGCTATGTTATGTAACTGTCTACCCTATGTTTAACGTACTCAAAGTTAATTTCCAAGTGTTTTTATTGTATAGTATTACTGATATTTATTTCATTTTAGTATCAGACAATTCTGAACATTTTGTTTATATTTCTACTTAATGAAAACTGATTAGTGAAAATCCCTTTTTTTACTAGCCCATTTTATTTGGTGTGTCGGTTGATTAAACGTCGCAAAATTTCGTTTTCTACTGTTGTACTTAATTGCAATAGAGAAAATGTAAAATAGAAATTCGGCCGGCGACAATTTCTCCGATTAATTTCTCATTACATGGTTGTTTAACGACAATGCAATTATACTTGTTCGCAAGTTTAAATTTGTCAAAATAGACAAAAAATATCGGAAGTCAATTTCCTCCGCTAATAAATGCAAAGAATATTTCATGGAAATTATGACCATGCCACTTCTTTCACCCAGTATTTTTTCACCAAGGTAAACCGAAATACTGTTAAACCTCTAAACGCCTACTAACCTATTGCAGTACCTACATACATAGGTACGAACAATGCTATTAAATACAATAACAACGTAATAACAAATTAACAAGCAAATAAAGATTACATAAATACATACATAACATGATGTTTGCACGGAAATGTCAATATGAGACCATCATACAGAATACACAATAAATATTTATCTAACAATTACGGCGAAGGTAAGGTAGGTAGCTGTACTCGCAGGGAACTAAGTCTGTATATAATAAATAGAGAGTATTTAAGCAGGGGTAAGTACTGAAAACCCCGGTACTAAAGTCTAGGCAAGTAATAATACTAATAACTAAAATAAATTTAATGATCTAAGTTAGATTACAACTGGAATCAATCAGGGTAGGTACATTAGATATAGACATAGGGATAGACGATATACAAATACAAACTTTAATAATACATTACAGGGACAAAAAAAATACACATGAAAAATAAAAAGAAATAAATACGTTGACGACTACTGACGTACACGGTACGCATGAGGAAGAACCCCTCTGTGGTTCGAAACTAGTAGAGCTTTACTCAGTATTTACCGCGATTTTTAGTTAGTTTTGTATGTCTCACGATAATGATTACAAGAATTGATGATATTATAGAACAGAAGTCAGTTACTTCATATGACGAAAAACAATTATCGTTAGTGATCGTCAACGTACAGGTCACTACAGGGATTTACATAAATACAAGTGCTGCTACGGGGTCTACAGGTGAACATACAAATTGGTGCTGTACCCAGATTGTAACTTACCCATCTTTCTAGGGAGTGGGTTTGCCCTGCCGCACTCTAAAACGTGAACGTGGATGAAGAATAATTAGAATTGCTTTGAAATAAGAGCACAGGCACACGATCGAACTTAAGAGAAACAATTTAATGAAAGATACATCATTGCAAGATGATCGTCAAAAAAATGAACCATGTCAATAACAATATCCTCAGCAATTGAAATAACAACAAATTGTAAGTTTGAAAACCCAAATTGTGACACAATTCTCATTCTCAGGTAGTTTAATATAAATATAATCAGCATTTAAAGTCAGGTAGGTACTAAGTATTAGCTTATTGGTTTTTCGAAGAAATACTATGGACATGGCGTTTTTCTCTAATCAATGAGTTCGATCGTCAGCTCGAGCCCTTACAGTGACTAATAGAGGTACATTTGCTGTGCTAATTACAAGACTAAAATTGGAATAGTAATTGCTACTATAGACTAGTGCTCGATTACTTCCTGCGGTTTCGACCATGTTTTTGTCATTAACGATGTCACCCAAAGAAAGACTCAACTAAGTGCCGAACATACTTAAATATACATTGTTATTGCATAATAAGGATTGTGCCTTAATTGAGTGCGAATGGTGAAATGTCTCACATATTTTTGTCTCAATTAAGATTTTTAAGAGTTTCTCTCATAAAAAGCTCGGAGGTTTTTAGTGAAACTTTTTGTAAATTACAACATTTTAATCCCAAAATGGATGTGACATCTGATTACGTTAAATATTGCATCTGATTTAAGTTATATTTATATTTGCAAGAGATAAATGTTTTATGCTAATGGCTTTGATGAATATTTTAACACTTAAGTCTTTGTAACAATAGATTTTATCTTTTCATATGCTTCTTGGTCTAGGGTGATATTTCTGTGCATTATGTGAGTTTTCTACATACCACACGAACAGTTCTTGATCTGGTTGTCCTCCTCATCGTCCTCGACGCTTTGTTCCTCCAAGATGGGCACCTCTAATCCAAATATGGCATCGAACAAGAACCGTGATGTTCTGTTACCTGATGACACCTGGAATTATTGTAAAATACTAATTTAGCTGGGAAGTCACAAAATGTAGACAGAATATTTTCTAAGAGTAATTCATTTGAAAAATAGATAAAGGAGAAAAGAAAATCTGAGAAAATGAATGACGTTTAATAAGGGAAATAAATGTTTGGTCATCTACTTGGGTTAAGGAAAGAAAAAGACGAGGATTTTGAACTCAACCAGTGACTTAAACAGATAGCATCTCGTCCACTTACGGTCATTTGAGTTTACAATTTATCGAACTCATTTATCAACAATGGACATGACTACAATTATGTATTCCACTCGAGCCAACACATTCCTATGTAGCATGTTAGATAACATAAATTATTAGCACTATTAGAAGCCATCATTGCATGTTCACTGCAGTCGGAAGTAGGTAATCATGCTAAATTTCGTAAAGAATCATGTAAATTGTGTGTTGACTTTTATGCACATTACATAATAACAAAACTGGTATTTGATGGTCGGCTCGGAAATGCACTTACATAAGTTTTGTTTACCATTTTAAATGTTGGCGGCGCGGTTTACTTTCGCGGGAGGCGCGCACGCCATGGTTACACAATCTCTGATGTTAATTGGCGGCTAATGTCAATGTTGCTTTCACAATCTTAACAGCCGTGTTCCGGTACGTTATTATCCTTTTTTTATTCTATTTTAATATCAGACGCACTTAAACTTTCGCTGATCTCGGGGCTGACGATGACGGGTAATTTGCACTACATTAGGAAATCGTTAGTCAAGTTGCAGATTTATTTGAATGTGATATAGAATGACTGATGTCTCACATTTTGATCAGAAAAAGAAATCAAAGCAGAAACGTTTAGATATTTTAAGAGCAAAGTCCAAAACTGTCTTCTTTCGTAACGCTACTTAAACGGAAACGAATTTGTTTTGACAAAGTATGACAAAAGCCTCTCATTGGGAATCCCAGCTGCTCCATTCAGAATCCGTTCCATACATAAAGTATGTCATTCGCCAAAAAGGGTTGTCAGTCAAACGAGTACGGAATAGCAGACGGCTGTCGCCGAGTGAGGAACGCACAATGCGACTACTTTCCCTTTGGTGACCTACTCGTTATAATCTCGTGACGAAACTGATGCCGTATAGTTTGTCGCCAACGTTAGCTAACAACAATATATTGTGACATAATAGTCACTTATGAGGCTAAGGTTGTCCATAACCATGTGCAGGTTGGAACTTATACGGTCATCGGTGCCATTGTGTAGGAAGTTAGGTAATATGTATCGAATATCGAGTGCAGTTGTTATCAAATGGAGCAGAGCTGCTACAGGAATTTCAATGATATTGAAGTGACCAAGTTTAGTAGGTAGATGTTTTGAGGTCACTCTTTTTAGGTCTATCTTTATCTGTGCTCTACTTTAATCCAACAGATATGGATACCGGATTACGTGGGGTTCATCGTTACTGAAGTTTTAAAGTCCTCTGATAGAGTCCTCTGATAGGGTTATCTACATCGTACTTCTGTACCTACGTAAAATAATTAGGAAATAAGGAATGAAATGAAATGAAGGGCCTACTGAATTAACTCGTCGAGTACCGTCATTATAGACACAGTTACAATAGGTTGCGGTCACCAGTGACCGCTTGGTGTTTGACAGTTTAATCTATAAAAATTGTCAAATCAAATCTTATCAAAACCGAGGCTGAAAGAAACCTACTTAAGTTATACGAACTACGGGTATTTTATTAAATAACCAAACAATGTCAAGGCCTAACAGAAATGAGTAAGATCTAGAAATCTCTACATATTCGCCTGAAACATTGTTCCGTGACCCTATTAGTTAGGAATAGGTGTTGTAATTGGCCGTGGCAGCGATTACTGGTCCAGTTGACGTCTGAAGTTCAATGTCGGTAGCAAGGGCCGCTAACAATGGAACTGAGACAATGACACGTTGCCTAATGCTGTTAATACTGCACGCCAAATTAAACAAGCTGCTGATAGCAAACAAGAACCAAATTGTTATTTAATTGTGTTCTCGGACACAATGTTTACATTTCTCGCACTCTTTAGGGCTTGTAGCGTGCTTCCTTGGTATATATCAACTTCAGGGGCCTGCATTTATTGGTGATTGGTTTAAAGAATATTTAATGACTTTGCTAAATGAATGTTGCGAGTAAGGGGAGAGTCTATTCTGCATTATACAACACCTATACATAGGTATTAAAATGCCTTTCCTTTTCGCCTAGTCTACAGTTCAAAGCCCTTAGCTATTACGCTTAGAGAGGCTTCAACATAAGGTCGTTGTGCATCTTTAAGGCTCAACACAACGCTTTGATTACATAGGTTACAACTGCCATGAATGGAGATAATAACAAAGAACGATACATTAGCGGGTTTCTCCTTTTAGCTACGTTTGTTACGTTGACAAAGGAAGAAGTTAAGCAATAAATCGTCCGTGTCATTAGTTTTGAAGTGGATCATTTCAGACATATAAAAGAATCACGTTTTAAAGTTGTATTAGATTGCTGTATGCTGCTGTACGATAAGTAATTTCAATGCATTTCTTTTTTTCCGTTAGGTTTACATTCAAATACTAACATAACATTAGGTAGGTACAGGTACTGTACGGTGCAGGAAAATCTTATCGAAACCAAAACATGATTCATGACACGATCAAAGTCAACAAAGTAGGTGGTTACGGCTGATTGGCGTCATTTTCACCGCATTCGCTTTTATTGTGTTATACCAGTGAATTCGTAAGGTCAGCAAGTACACTTTCCAAAGTATGATTGCGAGGTGCCTTTCACGAAGTAATTGTTGTGGTGCTCTCGTTTTGTTATCCGCAGCCGTTTATCAAATGTAAGAAAGTAAGTAGCTACTGCAGTGTATTTCAAAGCAGCAGGATTTATAAGCTAACTGTTTATAATAAGGGAAATGGAAATGCATTTAGCCATTGTATCGGTGTTAGTTACTGCTGTTCGGACAATGGGTGATCTGGGACTAAAGTGTCGATTTATGCTGATTACATGCTTTTGGTTAAGGATATCCTTATTCTTATTCGAAGTTATATATTCAGTAACTGTTGGACCTAAGATAGGAAAAGTCTTTGGATGATTTTCCCCCTTTAAAAAAGGAGGACAATTATTTTTACCCCCTTCAAAAAAAGGAGGAGGTAGGTACTATGTTCGGCAGATTGTTTTTTTTTTGTTTGTTCGCGCATTACTCCGCCATTTGTGAACCGATTTCCAAAGTTCTTGGACCTTACTTACACCTATAGTTTTCCACAATAAGGCCATTATTTCCATTGATCCAACTATGACACGAGAATTGCCTTTTAAGTATAAGTACCTACTTAAATACTAATTATTGCCGTTGTAGGTAAGGTATTGTTTTCACAAAGCTATTAAAGAAAGCATTAATGTTATATAAGTACCTAATATTAGCCTTAATACGTACCTAACTAAAAGCTAAATTAACTTTTGATTAACAAATTAGAAAGCCTCTCTATTATCATCAGTATTCTTGGCAAAATTCACAAAAATGTACCTGATGGAAAGCTATCTAATCTAAAAAACGTAGGTACCTAAGTAGAAAGAAGATTGTGAGTCTGCTCTTGAATTCTAATAATAGGTACAGATGGGCATAACCATAACGAGAAAGAAATGTTGGAACTTATCTGAGGTCAGGGCTTCTTATGCAGCTCAGATTTTATTATAAACGAGCGAACTAGGTACAGTTGTACAATAGTGATTGTTGTGACTGTTTAACTGCTTATTTCTAGAATGATCTTTATTATTAGATAATAAAAATCATAAACCAACCATATAGGTAAATAAACATTAGGTAACATTTTTTTCTTAAAATAGATTTCTTTCTCAACATTTAAAAGTATGACATAATTAAGTCGCATAAGTTAATAATATTACTTCATATCTAATAAACAAAACATCATCATTTTTAGTTAACAACCCTGAGAAAAGTCTAAAGAAGCTTCTGACAACAAAGTTGATTTTTAACAAATAAACACCTACCTACAAAATTCAGTGACATTTCAAAGGTGGTGGCAGCACTTATGCTTTAGGACCGAGTTTTATTTTAAGAGGTAACATCATCGCATCTAGTGACTGCTGCTACCTGGGTGAGGCGGAAGGGAGTGACAGACTCTTACTGACTAAAAACCACCCCGTTCCTTCTCCTGCACGGTGAGCTGAAGCCCCGGTACCCCTTAGGTTCTCCGCGACAAGGTTCTCTGCGACTTTAGGACCGAGTAGGGTGTAAAATCGCTTCTTGAAATTCTTGCACAAGTAATAAACACCGAATACCTACATAATTAGTCTTCCCAATATTCATGAATGCCTTTACTCAAAGGAAAGGTATCTCCTGCGATATGACGAATGTCATTCCTAAAATTACTGGTATCAGATTGCACATCCCGCCTCTTAGCATCCAATGTTTTGACAACACTTCATTAGTCATAGAAAGGTAGGTGAGGCATTTGCTCATAGCAGATTAATACAACCGATGTAGAAATAAACAAAAGCCGAAAGTTTGTTGTTTTTGCGCATTGGGAATTGACATTTGTACGCAATAAGTATGATATGTCATATAAGTACTAAAAAACAAACAAATGAGGCATGTTGAAATTTATAAAAGTTCATATGGAGGATAAATATAAGACTCAGTTTAATATCAGCACCTACTGTGACAAAACTACGTTAGTATTAATCACACTGAATAAGAATTTGGTAACCAAAACATTTCATATAAATGACTAGATTAATGAGTACCTACCTACCAGATAAGGCTTGTGTATCATTAGAAAACAAATAATGGACCATCATCTACCTACAATTACCTATTCTCAACTCTAAAAAATATAGCTTAAGTTAAAAAAGGAAACCCAAATTATATATCGAATACATTGTTATATAACAAAGACAGACGTAACTGGCGAAAGTGGTGCATATCCGCGTGATCAGTTCAGTTAATTATCTCCACAGAAATGTAACTAAGTAGGTATTATGTTTTACATAAATTACCCACTTACATAGGCCTACAAAACGCAAGTTTTACATTGTGTGAGTTCACGTTTGGCGTAATATTTTGATATATTCAAGGATAGCTATTAAAGTCTTTAATATTTATAGAATCTTCCGGCAGACATTAACTTGAATACCTATCCAGGTATCAAGGTCTGGGTGTAATCTATGTCAAATTCTTTCGACTTTTGCTAATTGCAATATCAATGTTAGGACCCATCGTTGTTTACAAAATAAAGTCCTTTAAAAAAACCTTACTGAAACTATGTCTCTAGAATTAAAAGATACATCAAGCAAATTCAATTGTTTGGTAACTATAAGTAGCTAAGTGCCTGTATTTTAAAACCACGTAAACTCTAAATCTTAAGGTGGAAAATCCTCCTGAGACACCCTCATCTGGGGAAGACGAAGAGGGGACCAGACTCTGAATAAAATTTTAAATTATGAATTAACAATAAGTTGTGCCTGACTGGGGCTGATGCGATCGCGATTACGAGATACAACTACCCTCTTTGTCGATAAGACAATACACACAGACTTACTTCATGCAATCTTTCTATCTTTAGGCATTATTTGTTTACAGAAACATGAAAATATCTACTGTAGCAACACTTCGTCTGACCATAAATTAAATGCAGGTAGAACTCTGGACTAGATACCCACCACCTAACAAAGCACCTACTCACATATCTAATTTTCTCTATGTAATATGAGTAGCTATTCTGTTTATTTATATGAATACTCACTTAAGACTTCTGTTTTATGTCAAATTAAATTAAACTATTCTTCAATCAATCAATCTATAGCTATATATAGATATTTAGGTATTACCTACCTAAATATCTGCTATAAAAACCTACTTTTTTTGTTTGGTTCAATGCGTTAATCTCCGAAACTACTGGTTCAAATTGAAAAAATGTTTTAGTGCTGGGCATGCCATTATTGAGCAAGTCTTAGGCTATCTATAAGACATCACGCTACACATATACCTAGTCGCGGAGAACCTAATGGGTTACCGGGGCTCCGGCTCGACGTGCAGGAGAAGGAACGGGGTGGTTTTTAGTCAGTAAGAGTCTGCACTTCCTCCCGCCTCACCCAGGCGGGAGTAGTCGTTCGATGATTTTCCCGCTTTAAAAAAAACATACCTAGGTACAAAGTAACCGAGCAGTAGGCAAATAAATAAAACTGCGTGCAAGTAGTTTAGCAGTCTTATTACTTAATTTAACAGTTTATAAAATGTTATTAGGTATGTTGTTGATTGTAGTAAATCATGTCAATTGGTCAACAATGATCACAATTTATGCTATATCATGCCAGCCATGCAGTTATTATGTATTGTATGATCTTCAAGCAGGCAATGTCATCAATCCTATAACTGTATAATCGTCGCAATCATTTTCATTGTTACAACAATATCATATTATTGTTACACAATAAACATAGTTTCAATTTGATTCAGGTACAAGAGGTAGGTATTTTATCAAAAGTTTTATATACCTGAGTAAGTAAGCATGCTACTCAGTTGTAATTCATTATTTCATTGGTTTTGTGTGTAACTAAGTACTTAGTTGCCAAAATTAATGTGATGTTGTTATACAACACTTTTAATTATAATAATAAAAAAGCCTATAACTAACGAGATATTTTTTGTTGGTTATGCCTACATACAATTTATGGACTTAGGGTACCTACTTAATTACCTAACCAATTAAATATTTACAAAACAAAACGTAACATTCGGTGATACTAAAATTAAACTACAATTAGGTACGGGCAACTTGTCAATTAACGCACCTACCCTCTTAGATCGCCTACAAGTTACAGATAAGCAGGCAAACAAGAAGTGAAGCAAACGACGGCAACGAAAGTAAAAGTGCATGTTCAAAGTCAATGCACCGAAGCACATGCAACTGTGACCGATACCGCGTGCGCGGGCTGATAGCTGACGTTAATATGATAATCTCGTCGTACTCACATGGTTGTCTAGGGCAGCAGCATCCGGTGAACTTATCTCTCTGGCATCGTACGAATTCAATACAAGAACCACGTAAGTTATAGTCACAATACTCCATTGGCACATTGTAATGGGTATCCTGGGTCGAGAGCTCGTCGTTATTATTGGTCTGCACCACTATTTATTTGCGCGGCATCTCCGCGCTCAGCGCGTTCACTGGCAAATTCGGCGTCAGCGATTCAATGGCATTATTTCGCAAACGGACTGCCCATGAAACGCCGGCCGAGTGTCGGCCGCGGCCGCGCGGAGTCCACCGAGTGCCGCCGTGCAGGGGTCTTCGCCACCACCAACCGTACTTTCTCTCCACACCAAAAACCTATTGCAGAGATCCAGCCCCCACTCGTGCCCTCATCGCGCTGCACTCAAGCTACATCACACGTGCATCTCAGTCTCCTTGAAAACACTCGTTACTAGGTGTAATCATAGGTCCCGTTTAGATATGCGAGTACCTACCTATCCTAACTTCCCTTAATATTTTCTTTATTAGTTAGGTACACCACCCAATCAGTGCATTACGTACCTAGTGTTATAAATTGGTGCAAGTGATGTGACGAGATGTCCTCTATACGTCAGAGATACGTCCTTTAGGATACAGTGTAGGTAAATGTCGTTTCCAGTTTGTCTTATGTACCTTTGAAGAATCTACGTACCTGGTCCCTAGTGCTTATAAACGAAAACTACCTAACTTACTGCAGTAGGTAAACTAAGTTTCCGTATAAAGTAGCTATAAAGTCTACAAAGTTTAACTTTCTTCAGGTACAAATGCAAACATTAGTTTGTAGTACATGCGTATAGCAGAGCAAGAAATAAGGCGCAAGTAGGTAACAATTTTAATAAAAAAGTTACGTCTGTGGGAATCTACAGTGGATTATGTTGGATTTTCCACACTGATAAAATGAAAGTGAAATCAACGGTCGCGCCGTTTCCGCACGGCGAGCGTGCCTTCCACCAACACGTAATCGTGATGTTTATACAACCACTCGAAAACTACAGGACGGGATGTTCGTCGTATAAGTTTAATATCTAGTTATTCTATTTCACACTTACAGTACCTACATACATACCTTTTGAAATAAGACATTTATGTAACTACCCAAACCACCGAAACTACAGGAGTTTCGGTGGTTTGGGTACCAGGATAAAATCACCGAAATAAATAAATCCGGCGAGTCAGAGACTCGGAACGTGAAGTCGTGGATCCTGCACCGAAATCATTAGAAAAGAAAAAAGTAAATAATACCTACTTACCTTCCTTGGTAGGTACATAGATCATATGTTATAGGTAGATACCTAAGCAACATAATATAGCCATCAGACATTCAGACCACCACAGATGGGGCCTAATAGGGCTGATGCCCATACGGAGCCTCGGAGGGCATAACGGTTGCCGGGACTCCGGCTCGAAGTGCAATGAGCGCATGTAGGAACGGGGTGATTTTTAGTCAGTAAGTCTGACACGCCTTCTTGCCTCACTCGGGCGGGAGAAGTCATTGGATGATTTTCCCCATCAAAAAAGTGACATAATAGTTGGGTAATCACTAATAACCAACCACCAACTATATTCGAATGATTGTTTTTTTATATAGTTTACCGTTTACTCCGCCGTTTGTGGACCATTTTCAAAATTCTTCTTTTCTTTGAAAAGTTACACTTCCGAGGTAATCCCGTTGTCCCCAAGTCAGGATCCGATGCTAGGATCCTAGGGAAAACGAGGGGAACTTTTGAACTTATAGGGACAACTAGTGCGTTTGTTAATATTTTCAATATGTATTTTAAACCAGTACAATTTGACATAAGTCTGGAGACGATCTGATGATGGAGCCGAAAGACAGTCGAAGGAACTCCCAGTTTATAGTAACTAGTGTTTGGGCTTGATTAGTTTGTATTGATGATAACTTCACACTTAGATGGCGTGGGACTGTCATTAAGAGTCTGATGATGAAATTTAATTGTTAAGGGAACTCTTCAGCGGTTTACAGTACTTAACTAAATTGTGTTTGGGCTTGTATAATTTGTATTGATTAGAACTTTGCACTTATATGGATAATAAGTGGTAGAATGGGTAGGTAAGTATGTTACTTTACACTAAATATTATAAAATAAAAAAATAACAGCTGCGTTTAAAAACAGACTTCAAAAATCCCAAAAACTAAAATCAAACAAAAAGTAAAGACTAAACAGGAAAAAATAAACCCACTGACAGGTTAGAAGTCTGCCATATGCTCATATCGAAATGATATAACTTATGGTCAATAATTTTGTTAAGAACTTATGGTGCAGACTTTTACCTACCCTATCAGTGGGTGGATCACCTATCCGTAATAAGAAGTTATGTTTATTTTTGTTCGTTTTGGGGTTTTTTGAAGTCGGTTTTTTAAACGAAGTTTTTATATTTACAGCCATGATCGTCCTACTGCAGGGCAAAGGCTCCCCCTACCCTCTATCTCAACCATCTCCACTCCTTGTATAAACCTTTATGCGGCAAACCCTTGTCATGGATGTCTTTTGGGCTATAAACTAATTAGGTACCTACCTAGGAGACTACCAGAACCTGTTTGGCCACTTAACTTCAATTAGTGAATCTAGAAAAGCACAAAATACCTAGTTATTTGTACTCAATCAAGATTCGGAGACTAGGTGGGTAGGTACCTACTTACGACCAAGAACGTTGAAAAAAGGTGTAGTCTCTTGAAACGACTGTGGCGTGATATGGCCCGTCATTACACTTCATTCATACATTACAATATTGCAAGTACACGCACACATAAATACACGACGGACATTTAGGTGCTCCTATAAAAGTGACACCTTTTGATAGGAGCACCAGTCTTAGTAACATTGCTTAGACTTAACGACTATGAAGCTTTACAGCTTCAGGTACCTACCTAGGTATTATAGGTATAAAGCTTGCTTTCTATGGCATTCTATAGAATAGAATAAGAGTTCCAGTACCAGGTACCTAGGTACCTATTTAAGAATAGACCGATTGCATCCAGTCCATATCTACTTATTCGTTAAATTCAATCTAAATAAATCTCTAAAACTAACAAATTATGGAATTATCTAAACCCCTGGATTAGGTGGAAACATCAGACTGTAACTGGTAAACACCTAGTGGATATTTGCTTAAACCTTTGCCTAATCGAACACTTCGGGGATTATAATAGCGTGATGATATTAAGCATAAGCAATGCCAACATCAGGCAGTCATAGATCCCATATGCCAGTCTCAGACTGTCAGGAAAGATGTCTGGTATATGGTACCTAATAATGTAGGTACGTGATCTGCTTCACTCTAATGAAGCTGACGCTGACATTCTATAGACATAGTCTAAAAGTAATAGCAATGAACGAGTAAAATACGAATGAACAAGGTTTTTCGATTGCTCTGAATGGATACCTTCTCAGTTTTGTTCAAGCGTTGTACCTACGTCTACCGGGGCCAAGCTTAGAAGTTTGGTAGGCATAGGCTTGAAGACAAAAGCCCTACTTAACTTCTTTATGTCAGATTATGAAAAATCCACTTTCGTTCGTACAATAGGTAGTCTCTAAACATCTGAAATAAGGTCTATAATGGGATGTAGGTAAGTGGAAAGGTCGCCGGTTACCGCCTGGATCGTGAGCAGTCGAGTGATCCTGCCAGTAATGACATAAGTACAGAACTGACAAGTGACAAGTAGCCACACACAAAGATACAAGTTCAGAAGGAAGGATCGTACCTACTCGAACGTGGTGATCAGAGTTCGTACCTACTTACTTAGCGACGACCTAACCCAAAGCACTAGCAAGCTGGAATAGCAGGCCACACATCTATCGAAGAACCAATGACTGTTGTGGTAGTAGGAGTGTTCTGGAGGGACACGTACGCATATCTAGGCAAAGTAAAAGTAGGGCGGCACCCTGCAACTGACTGAAGGATTCCAACTTCCAACCTATCAAATAAATCAAGACAATCTCAAGGAGACTGGTAGTCTATAGTAGGTATGCAAAGAGAAGAGCTCAGTGCCGTGATATTATAGAGGCCTAAGGTCCAATAGTGAACGAGAACATGCTATGTTGAAAAAGTATAGATACCTACCTAATTCTAATTAGGTACCGTTATTAAACTAGAATTACCCAGAAAGCGTTTTTATGTTTCGAAAATACTTAACAAAGATAGGTATAAATAGAGAGTAGTAGAGAAAGGTTATTTGGAATAAAACACGTATTTATTTAAAAAAAAAACTTTATTTGCAGGATTTTTTAAAATGCACAACTGTCTAATAAAATTGCAAACAAAACAAAACTTACCTGAGAAGAAAAGAACTTCGCAGATTGTTTAGACCCCGATGCCCCCGAAGTTCATCATGGAAATAAAATGAACAGATTAGAAATAAAAATTAAATAAGGGATACCCTAAACAGAAAAAAGAACGAAACTAAAATAAAAAACAATTCTAAAACAGGCAGCAGATAAAAGTATCACATGTATAAATTGAATCTGATGAAAATATACTTGGCAATTCTTTTGATTGAATTTAAGCCATTTGTAGAATTATTCAGGCATTATTTTTTATACCACACTGGTACAACTTACTGTTGAACTTAGCTAGTTGTAATGGTTAATAAAAAATATACCTAGTAAAGGAGCCCAAGATGCTATACCTAGTTGAAGTAGGTACCTATTAGGGCGTCATTGTGACTAGATTATAAAAATTTGGTGATATAAAGGAATTTACAGTTAGAATAGCCGTAGAGAATAAATTAATGTTAAAATTCCTTTAAAACCCTACCAAATCTTACAATTCACGTTCAAATCGGCAAAATATGAAAATAAATCTAAATAGGTACCCTGAATCAGACGAAACTGAAACTAAAGATCTATTGGCTGATTACCACAAGTTCAACCTGATTTGCTTGAGGAATTTAAAAAATCCTTGAGCTCCCCTACTATGTATAAAAATTTCTCTTCATATTATGACTGTGTGCTTGTTGAGACGAAAAATAATGTGAATGTGTTTCTGGTCAGTGGTTTAATGTTACCATGTTAAATAAGAAATTACTAAATCATTAAAGTACGTTTATGTAAGTACCTACCTCTCGGCATTCGGTACTAAGGTACATCGTTAGTTAGTTTAGGAGGGCTCAGACTTATACCAATTGTTTAACACGTTCACTGCCACCACAATTTTTTTGAAGTTCATAGCGATGCCACCCTATAAAGCCACGTGGACACGCCAGGCGTGTCGGCGGCACTGCATCTTGTTAAACATGGACACGCTAGGCGTGTCCAGTGGCACCTCAATGGAGTTAAATTCTAAATCTGTTTTTTTTCGGTTTAGCGATGAGTATTAGTTAGTTTGTCAATCGCTGAGCAAGAATACAGGTGATTTGAAATACGGTAGTGAGAATTTACCTGGAATTATGGCTGAAAATAGAAGTTTAGGTAAGTAATTTTCGTAATTTTGTAAGAGATCATAAACATTTTGTGGTTGTTTTGAAATATTTCATAATATTAACTTAGATAAGTCAATTATTACAAGTTTACGGAACGATACCTATTTTAGTTGAAGATAGCATACTTATTTAACAACAATAACAAAATGTTTCATAAAATACTTATGTTTGCCATAATTTTCTCCCCTATACTTTTATTTCATTAAATATGAATTGCCAAAAACTACAAAAAAATGGGGGTAAGGGAGGCCGAAACCGAAATACATGCAGCCGGCTGCATGGCTGCGAGTAACAGAATAAATGAAAATAGCAAATAAATATTATGAGCGGGGAC